AATCGAGCAGCAACTCAAGTGCTCCATTTGTTTAGATGAATTCAAAAACCCAAAACTTCTTCGTTGTTACCATTCATTCTGCCAAGAATGTGTTCAAGCACTTYTGGAAAAAGCCGAGGAAAATACTGTAAAATGTCCACAATGCAGAACTGAAATGAAGGTGGGTGTTTTGAAGCACAATATATAGAAAAACTGGAGAACTTATGTTTTTAATTCGACTAATGGAATTAAATATTATCGCGATCATCCTCCTGATAGAGGACTCTACGAGAGAAAAACAAATTATACTATTAAATAGCTTTAGTCACACGAAATAATGATTGCACTGAAGTGCTAGTTGAGAAAGGCATGGTACCGAATATACGCACAATTAAGGTACAAATCGCGCGGTCTTAAAATAAAATACCTTATTTTAACTAATACAGGTGTATATGGGGTAATCTGAACTGTTTTAAGCAAATAAGATTTCAGAAGGTTGCGTAAAGCGAGCGTTTTAACACAGTCTTGCTCAAGTCTTTGGCTTTAGGTTTAGGATATTTTTGAGGAGATCGATTGGACATTAAATAAATGGTTCATGCCATGATTTCTCAGCACAAGGACCTGAGAATTTTAGAAAATTAGTCATTTTGTTTCACTGYTATTCATTGTTTTGATTGTTGCTTAGTAGCTTTGTGCTGTAAGCTTTAATTATTTAATAGTAGTCCTAACCTTTCATTGTATTGGTCAGAGCACAGGTGACAATCAAAGTGTTGGCCAAGATAGTTATTAATACAGTTGTATTAATAGCCGACTTTAGATATTTTGGTTCAGTGACCATGCACAAAAGAATTGCAGACGAGGCTACGGGGAAATAAAATAATAAATCAAGATTATCCGTTGTTTTCCCGGAGCCTCRTGTGCGTTCTTTTGTAAATAGTCATCGAACCAAAATATATATTTCAGTGGGTGGGGGTGAGGTTGGGGGTGGGGGTGGGGGTGGGGCTTTTCAGTTAAAATGCGCATAAAGACATTTACAAAAAAAGGTTCTCATTCTGATTTTCCTTGCAAATCAATGCTTTTCTCCCAACAGAGCTAAAACAATGATGTTTKTCATTATACAGTGTACATTTTGTACGTTTTACATGAAAAACTCTAACTTTATCTTTTCGATTTATTTTCAGATCCCACATGGAAGTGCGAAGTTCTTGAAGTCAAAYTTCTTCATTAATAATATCCTGGAACTAATGCAGAAAACTCGTCGACGTCGCAAGCAACGAGACCAGAGTGCTCCATCCGGCGAGCAGCCATTCGCGCCATGCACTTGCGATAAAAAAACCCTTGCAAAGTGTAGAATVTGTAATGTTGACATGTGTGAGTCTTGTATTGATGCGCATTTGAAGAACCCAAGAACGAAAAAACACGAGTTCGTAAGACAAGASTTGGCGCTCTGTACTCAGCACTTGTTTGAAGAGAAAAGTTTTTACTGTGAGCAATGTGAGGAGTTATGCTGCATGAAGTGCATCGGTTTGTTTCACAAAGAACACAAGAGTTTGGCAGTCAATTCTGTGGTCAAAACACAGAAAAAGGCTATTGATTGGCTACTCGTAAGATGCCAAGCTAAGATTCCCAAACTGAACTGGGAAATTGCAAGGTTTAAAGTCATGGAAGAAATGACAAAGAAAAATGCCAACGACACAAAGTTAGACATCGATAAACACTTTGAGACGCTAATCACAGCCCTTGAGGAGAAACGTCGTGAGCTGAARGACGAAGTTGAAACAGTTGAAAACGAGAAGCTAAAACAAATCTACCATGAACAAGAAAATGTCATCATGGCTGTTGAAAGACTGCAATCTGGTATTGAATTTACAGAACAAGCAACAAAGGCAGGYAACGAGAAAGAGTTTCTCTCGATGAGAAAACAGATTTTTTCCAGGTTGGAAGAACTAAGTGCCACTGAAATACCRAGATCGWCAATAAATGGMCGATGGGACATCTATCTTCACTCCCCGTACAAAACCAATCTTCATCAAAATAGTCTTCCTTTAGTGAGCGGGTTTAGAATTCAAAGCGATACTGTCAAATCTGACTTAAAGATGGTAGGAGGAGAAGATGGGCTGATGTACACAACGTTCATGAACCAGTTACGTAAGTTTGTTATCACTCTCAAAGACGAAAACGGTATAAAGATGGCATTTGGTGGGCAAGACGTACACGTGGCCATTCGCGTCCCATCACAAGCCCAGTCAAGCGGTGATAAACCAATAAATTACGAAGATATTGATGTCGTAGACAACAACAATGGTACGCACAGTTTTTCATACGAACCGCGAATCCAAGGTTCTTATTACTTGCACATAACAATCAACGGCAGGTCGATGACTGATGACTTCGAGTGGACCGTGGAAGCACCTCTTGGGTTTGGAGACAGGGCGAACAGGCGTGGAGCTATTCAGCTATACCCACCTGTTGGGCAGGCCACTGCATGGAATAGGTTTGTAGGTGGGAAATACTCCTGGAAGATACGACGAGTACGCTACGATGATGACATTGAGGTTCATGTAGGTGTCATGATGGATAAGACGAGCAAGAAATGGGGATGGTGYAATGGTAAGCGAGAAGAACCACGAGAACTGTCCTCCATGAATGACATCAGGAAACAATACAGCGCCATCAATTCATGGCTTGAGCARGAAGAAYTGACTTTCTTCAATAATGAAGAAACAGGTCGTTTCATCATTTATCATGAGGCAAGTGGTGAGACTGAAGTGTTTAAGAGATGCCCTGGGACTGCTGCTCGACCATTCGCATATCCACCATCATACGACATCTTCTCTATGGCTGCGAGTCATTTTGAAAAGAAGCTTTCTAAACAATCAAACTCGATGGATTAGACCTATCCAAACAAACGTCGTGGAAATAAATGTTTGAGCCTCAGGAATCAGTAGGAGTCGCTATATCCCCAAGGAATACTTACATTAGCTTGTCCCAATAACCCAAAGTTAGTAAGACTGATAAGAGGGAGACGACAAACTATGATTCAACTATGTGCATTTTGTATCAAAGTATTTAATATTAGATATTGTTACAACTACAACAAAATAATTACGTCTTTTTCTTTTTCTTCTTGATTTTGTCACTCTTTGTAGATTCCTACAAGTACAATTTATCAAAATATTATGTACAATTAATGCAATAGCATAAATTGGGTTCACAGACTGGTATGAAAACCTTTTTTAACACCTCATGAATAACTTAGGTTGCTAGTTTTAGCCTTTTCCTTACTTGTTTAGACTTTTTTTTGTGTTTTCGACTTTCTGTTTGTATAACTTCCATACTGTCCCATAATTTATCTACTTCATCTTCATCACAGTTMATTGCACTTTCTCGTTTTCTCAAATTATTATTTTCTTTCACTTGTTCTTCACATTCTTGGTCCAACTGTTCCTAAAAAAACACAAAAAATTAAATTTCTAACAAAAGTATGCAGTTGTGTATCAATTAAAGTTGTAAAAATAATTACAATATAAGTTTACAATATACAGAGTATTACAATATACGGAGTATACTGAGTTACAAACCYGGTTTTGCTTCTTGGCAGTTGAAAACAATAAACAATTGAGTCTGGTTTTGAGATAAACCTAAAAAAATGGCAAATCAATTAGTGATACAACAAAAGTATTTTTTTCCAGATAGCAAAGAAAGCATTGCTTTTGCAAAGAACTGATACACTWCTAAAATTTTACCTTGTTTAATAAGTTTCTTGATTTGAAATCATAAACACGTAAAAATCTGTCCAAACCACATGCTGCTATACGGTCCGTTTCATGACAGTACTCAATACAACGAACACTTCCAGCAAATCCTTTAAAATTACCAACAGCTTGACCTACAATAACAGCAATTAGTTTCCAATTCACTAGGTTTTCTTTGTTATTCATAGGGTTGTATATACCATAGAAACTTAAAGCCGGGGAGGGATTTGATATTCAGCAGGGAAACTATGTGGGTTGATGAATTGAATTGAATAGCTCGTTATAAATTCAGCGGGCTATATATGAGTGACTGGAATCACTCATATAGCCCGCTGAATTTATAACGAGTTATTCAATTCAATTCATCAAACCCCACATTTCCATGCTGAACATCAAATAAACTAAGTAAACTAAACTATTTTCCCCCTAAAAAAGACCAGTGCGGCCAGCAAAACTTGAGGAGATTTAGAGTGTATTAAATAAGTTCGAGTCCCGCAGCTTTTCTTCATATGTTCATCAGAGAATAGAGACAACAATAACCAAGATCTTCGCAGTTACTTTTAAAAGAATCTATTCTTCGGAATTAACCAACGTGTATGAATTAGAAGTAATCGGTGTGACTTGGTCCATTCTATATCCAAGCACGTACACACGGCCATTTGGTACTTTAGTTTGTTCCTTCTTGAATCCTTCCCTCGTATTTTTTCGAGCGAGTTCAACATCAAAAACTATTGTAATTTTTCTCATTTTTTCCCATCTGCAGACTTTGTCATCGTTATTTGCGGGAAGAAGCATGCGGAGTTCCAAATCCGATAGCAAATCGTCAATATCAAAGTTCGTCAAAGGAATGATGTCAAACGTATTTTGAGCTACAAACAAATCGTCACTGTTTGACATCGTTTCCAGAATGACTGCTAAGAATATTTGATAACAATATTCAAATTTCGATTACTCGCTTTCGCATGAACAGGTTTTCTTAAAGGAAACTAATTTCAACAGTCCATGAAAAAGTCTCAATAGAAGAGGATTCTATTGTTCGAAACCCAACTAAGAAAACATTCATTAAGTCTATTCAGTTTTTGCGAAAACCACGTGAATTGAAAACTAAGTTTGTTAGTTACCTCGCACGTCGGCATTGCGCTATATACAGCCCTCGGGCCTGCGGCCCTCGGGCTGTATATAGCGTAATGCCTCCGTTCTCAGTAACTAACTCTTACATAATATTGTATACTAATAACATTAAAGATTAARCTAAGTTACCTTCCTTGGAATATATAAGTGACACGGCTAAGAATGGAATTATTCAATGTTGTATCTTACTGATTTGTTAGATTGTTCGATGGGTTAGACATAGATGTACTTACCTTTTCGTAGGTCAATAAGGGACATTGTACCAGCTGTATTTCCAATTAGTAAAGTACTGAAGTAACATCAATGAAAAAAGCATAAAAAACTCTAGTCAGTCAATACAACAATGAATCAATTAATCACTACTTACTTATCTTGATCTGTAACACACACTGATGAAATAGGACAATCCTCAAAATCCATAGAAAAAACAGGTCTTTTCTTTGCTGCTGTGTCATAAAGACGTATTTGATGGTATCCTGTACCAGTCACGATCTTAGATGAACCAGCATTTGGCAGGAAGCCGAGATCTGTAACCCAYACTGGTACTCGTAAATCAAGGTTATCATTTTTTACCTGTTCAAACAATGATAATCAATAATTCAATTTAGTAATAACCAATGGACTTAGATTTAATTAATCATAGTAGATGTGCAAATTGAACTCACATTTTTTGCTTTAAATATGTTTTCTCCAGATTTTTCAAGATCCCACAATTTAAGATCATTTTCCTTTCCTCCAGTTCCAAYGATATGTGGATTGCACTGATCATATCTCATTCTSGAAATGTGGTTTCCAACTTTTATTTCAACCTGTACAAGGAATGGGAGTTGATATTTCATGAGCTAGTGTATTTTAGGATATTGTAGTTCGTAAGCAAAACTTACAGGAGTTTCAATATCAGTCAGTATCCTAAGTACACCAGACTCTGTGCATGTTATTGTGGAGCTGAGGAATGACGTTACAATGTAAATTTCCTGTTATAATAGTTATAGTACAGCAATAAAGGAGTCAACACATGTGATTTACAATTTTCAGTACTTATTATAACAGAAAAGGCCAGTAAAATGACTATCTTTGACATCACAGTCCATTTCATTGATGAATGTACACTGCTCCACATCRTAAGTCTTAACAAGTCCATTTCGCAGTCCCAGAAGCATCTGAAAAAGGCAAACTGGGTAAAATAAACTGCAAGGCAGTCTAATCCATGACATTGTATATTAGATTGAGATCACAGATTTGTGACAGAGAATACAAACAATGGGATCAGGGTTAACAGATGAAGTATCAGGATCCAGAATCATACAAGGGGCAACTGAATTGAGCTGAGATATTGGGATCAAATTAAGACCACTTTTGGGATATCCCAGATCAAAAAGGATCAGGAGTGTGGCGAGTGCAAAATCAAATAATGTATACAAAAAGTATGAAACAAATTATTTAGAGGTATTAACTCTTTTCAATACAGTTGATGTTACTGCACTCRKTRACAATATGCTGATGRTATTTAAGCAGCGAAAACGTGCACGTGGATAATCTAAGTTGATTTATACAATATACTACTGCACAAAAACCTGGTTATCTAAGCATTTCTTACAGCGCATTCACTATCATTACRTAAAATATTTGATTTAAACTAGAATTACCTGTGTTCTGTCCCAATTCTTCCAGCACATCGCACAAATTTCGTCTGTTTTGTTATCAGCTGATTCCGTCGATGGCTTCACAACATTGTTGAACGAGTTTTTCCGTAAATCCACGGCTAAGAATCCAAAATAATATAATTTCTAAGTTGAAATATTTATCAAATCTTGATACTACAACTCACAAAGTATGTTTTTACCTTTAAGATAKCCTACTTCACTGCCAACAAAAATATCCGAGACAAAATCGTCCGCCATCTTGTGCGTTCTCGATCAAGTGCTCAAAATCGCTACTCAGTGGGGAGGACAAGGGAAATAATTTGCAGTCACAACACAGCACCAACAAAATCAATCTGAAATGTCCTTAAAATCAAATTTTACCAAAAATAATACTCAAAGATTCAAAATTAATACTTAAATAGGAAAAAATGAAGTAACTGATAAAAATCGTAGGATTCGAAAAATTTAGTTGACTAGTCCCAGTCTCCCGTGTTTATTCATTTCCAAGATGGCAGATGTTTCTTTAGGAACTTCTTTCCTTCCCTGTAGAAAATATCGTATTTTTAGCAAAAAATATTGGTTATTTTTACTTGTAATCTTTTTAAGCGTACATCTTAGCTATGGAAGTAACCAKAGATTGGGATTTGCGTCGAAAACTCCATATTTTTTCAAAGAAGTGCAAAGCAAGTCACATCTGTCAGCTGAATGCAAGGTGATTCACGTTAATTTTCTTGGACGACAYGGAACACGATATCCCAGTCACAAAGATATCAAGAAGATAAATACCATGGCACTTTTGATTAACCATCTGCACGCATCTCATGGAGGATTTGCGTTTGATAAGGTTCAATTCCCTTGGGCTAGTCCATTCCAAGAACATCACGACAAAAGCTTGACAGAAAGAGGTGAACAAGAACTTTATGACATAGCCAAACGCATGCGGCGTCGATTCCCCGAGTTTTTCAACTCTAATCTAACTAATGATCATTTGAAATTCGTCAGTACACAGACATCGCGTACTTTGAAGAGTGCCATGGCATTTTCAATTGGTCTTCTGGAGGGYACTGGGAAACTTGGCACGTGTGGCATACGCCCAGTTGATATTGAATCAACAGATATCCACAATGATACAATYTTGAGATTCTTTGATGTCTGTCCTAAGTACTTGAACACTGTATCCAAAAATAAAACATCTTTATTCGAGCATCATGACTTTAAACACACCCAGCATATGACAGAGGTTGTCGAACATGTGCGACAGCAGTTTGGCAATAACCYTGCCATAATGGCCAAGCATGTGATAGGCATGTTTATTGCATGTACATTTGAGTATGCAGTGTTTGACAGAAGTGATACATGGTGCTCAGTTTTTAGACCTGAAGATATAAATGTCATGGAGTACTACTACGACCTAAAACATTTCTGGAAGAGAGGRTGGGGGTACGAGGTGAATACCAAAATGGCCTGCCCTCTRCTTTCAGCCATGTTTACAGATATAAAGAGTTTTTTAAACRCAAGTGATGTTCACAGAAAAGCAGGAGTTTTCCGATTTGCTCATGGTGAAACACTTCARCCATTGTACTGCTTACTTGGTCTTTTCAAAGACACTGAGATGCTAAGATCCAACAATTTTCACCACCATACYGAACGTCACTACAGAACCAGCAGTATTGTGCCTTTTGGTGCTAACTTGGCTTTCGTGGTATACAACTGTACTGTCRGTGAAAAAGAAGACTACAAGATTGAAGTACTTGTGAATGAGCAACCTATTTCTTTACCATGTTGTGCAGGAGATACCAAGTGTCCATGGGAGATGTTTGTACATTGTTTTGATGATAATGTGAACAGCTGCAATTTAGAAAGTATATGTGAAGAGCCTGACAACCATCATGATGAGCTGTAAAATCCTCGCTAAATTTCTGATATATTTTTATTCTGATAAACTCATAAAAGGCAAAAAACTGAATTTAAGTGAGACTGTACTTGTTAAACATTTGAAATAGAATTTTATTAGCAGTCATGAATAGTCAGATAGACACAAAAGCAAGCAATGAAAGTAACTGTACTGTAACTGTATCCACAGTCTTAGTCAATGTTCAACATTTTGTTTGACCTACCACGACAAAAGAATTGAAGATGAGACTTTGGAGAAACCAAATATAATCCTTTAATTTCCCCAGGGCATTAATTCCTCAGTTCTTTTGTGTTCAACTATTCAACCAGAACATTGTAAGTGGGCTATTTTTCTCTTAATGAAGTTATAATGAAGTTATAATAAAAGTGTAATGTTTTCATAATCCATGAAATTTGCACAACTGTTTCAACTATTTAAGGTTTTCTATTTAACAATAAGACTAGTGAGTTTTGTTTATAAAACACAACAAAAAAAATCAAAGAAATGTTCACATGAAATATGGTATTTTAAAGTGATGGGGAATATGTGTCATAAATTAACTCTTTTAAATAGTTTGAAAATTGTTGTACAATTGTTGGGTACAATTGGTCATATGTTCTTAACCTTAATTTATAGGAGTTTCTATAATCCATTATTATTTGTATTTGCAATAAAAATGCATTCCATTATATAAGTTTTGTAGAGTTTTATTTTAACGTAACAAGATTAAAGTTCCAGCTTTGTATTTTACAATTACATCAGTATGATAATCATCAACTAGGAACATTCTGGTCAATCTCTTTCTGCTATGGCAACAAGATGGGTATCTATTTCTGCTTCTGTCAATTTTCTGGAACAACAACACATTAATTATTAGTCAAAATAGGTTAGAAGGATACCTTATTCTAGCAATAACAGGAATGAAGAAACAAAACACAATAACACACAATGCAATTGTCATCATGGCAATGGTTAAAATATTTCAAACGAGAAAATGCCGGAGAAATGATTTTGGGCAATCAATGAGGTTTAATTTGGGTTTAAAGAACTTCATTACCTGAATCTAGGATTGTCAGTGGTCACTACTCCAACTTCAATTTCTGATGGCTTGAAGTCAGCAGAGAGAACTGATGATAGGCATGTTATAGCAGTCTTAAAAAAAAACAACTTTACATCAAGTTCCCAATTATTATCACCATAAATAATGCTGTCCTAGATTTTACCTCAACTGTTTCATTAAAAGTTCTGGCATGCTTCTTTTTTATTTTCTTCTCCAAAAAGCTGTTTGCTTCAGTCTGTTTGGCACCAATGCTACAGGCTTTAAAACCACAGTAATATCCAGCAGGGTCTGTTTTGAACAACTGTGGTCCAGTTTCTTCATCTATACCAATCAAAATCATTCCTACAATCAATCAATTAATAAGTTAGTGGAACCATAAGAAGTGTCAGGGGTGCACTAAGGAGGTTGCACCCCTTTTCTGAGTCATTGCCATATATTTATCATATAATTCATAAAATGATAAATTTATTCAAAGATATTGTATCCTATTTTGAGACACCTCCAGGGGGAGAATAATTGCTGTAAAAAGGTTGCTATCATTACACGTTTAACAGTCAACTTGGTGCAAGGAATGGCAAAGGAGACTATGTCATGAATCAAAATGCTGCTCAGTCACATATTAGTTTAGCTTCCTTACCACATCCAAGAGGACGCATTTCAGCATTCTGTGTGTAAACCTGGTTGATGTCTGCTATCCTCCTACACAGCATGTCTACAGGAATTTCATAGCCATACTTGTATTTCCAGTTAGCTGCCTCATAACGAGCTCTTTGAACCTGAGACCTTGAGTCAGCTACAAACATAGTATGTGTAATGTAATCTTCAATATAATATGCAATGGATAATTCACTCTTGGCTTGCTATTGTAGTTGGTGCATGCAAACATTGTTTTTGTTTATCTGTTTTTTTTTTTTTTACATTTTCGCTGTTGACGAAGTTTGTCTTGTCATTGTAACATTGCCACCCTCGAGATGCCTACTTAGGGTGAAAGCTCGGCCAAATAAAGTACAATTTGTCTAGATTGATTTACTTGATAATTCTATAATAATGACTTAAGTTCATGGTAACACCAGAAAAGCAATCTAGACATGATGCAGAGTAAACAATTGCATAAATGAAAAAATAAATAAATAAACAATAATAAATGGGTGAAAGAATGAACAAGGAAATGAATGAATGAATATGAATGAATGGTTAAATAATTGAATGGAAGAATATTATACGACTGAAAGCCATATAGATTTGTTGTACCTGTCATTCCGGTCATTATACATCCAATCCTTTCTGATAGTTCAAACAACTGTGTCACAGTGCTAGCATCAAGTAGTTTGTCCTGTAAACATAAGTAAAATGATAAGAAAAATAGCTTAGCTTGTCCTTAGTGATGATGGCAATGATTGACGTATGGTTATGATGACATTGATGCCTCTGATATGATAAAATTCTATAATACGGAAAAAGGGACCTGAACATTTCAGAGATTGAAATGTAGCTAAATTAAAGTCTTTCATGATACTTCTAAATATATTAATCAATAGAGTTACAGAATTTTACGATCAAAACTATTTGCTGAATCATGATGACCAACTTAGATGTAGAGAATTGTATAGACTACATGTACAATGAATGTATCTTATCAATGTTAACTTCTTTATAATAACACAAAGAATCAATAACAAAGATTTACTTCATTTCATAATGTACTTACCGGGACTTTCTTTTGGGTAACAACGACGGCAGAGTCTGCACCACGAACTCCTACAGATGTGAGACCACCTTGATTGATGGCTTTGAATGCATATTCTAAAGTGATAGAAAATATATAGCTTTAATAAAAAAATATATAAGTACATAAACTACAACAACTAATTTAACCCCTTACCAACTTGGTAGAGCCGTCCTTCAGGAGAAAAGATTGTTATATGTCGGTCAAATCCAGCACTGGTTCCACGAGACATCTTGAAATTTTCTCTTGTCAGGAAAACTCGGCCCAGTCTTCATCTTCAATTCCGAAACTCCCATCAGCCATTGCCAGTGTGAGTAGATTAGCATCTCAAAGCGCGCGAGGTTTGTCCAGAGCATGCAAGGGGTCCAGAGACGTGAAAAATCCTAAGTGCCACGTCGATTGCATACTGAGCCGAGCGGTGATGAAGCTTTGAATTGTCAACTGAATTCGGTAAAAAGGAAGACTATCTGAACCTAAATACAGTAAAGTCTCTTTTTACAATCTCCCGTGATTTTAGTAAATTATTTTGACTCCCGGACATCTAATTTTTTAAGTGCCACGTCGATTCTATACTATGCCGAGCGGTGATGAAGCTTTGAATTGTCAACTGAATTCGGTAAAAAGGAAGACTATCTGAACCTAAATACAGTAAAGTCTCTTTGATTAGACTAGATTTACATTTTCCCGTGATTTTGACTCCCGGACATCTAATTTTTTCGTGACATTGTTATCAAAGTCCTCCGGACATATAGGCAGAGACAGACAGAGGAAGAAAATTTGATAAAAATATAAAGATAAAAAAATTGAATAAAGTTCAAAAAAAAAAAAAAAAAAAAACTTGAAGAAAAAAGTTAGCTTCGGAGAAGTTGGATTTGGTCATCGTTGGCTGGAAAACATGCGTTGAGCGCCTTACCGAGTTGCGCCACAGGACCACGCTCATTTACATAATAATAGACCACTTGACACTTTCACCGAATAGACTACCCCAATTTGACATTATATTTTCGATAGTTGCCTAGTTAGTGCAAGGGGTTATTCATCAGTGTCTAGGGGCCGGATAGCTTCTCCCTCACTGGCTTTTTAGTTAGGGCGAAGTTAGGACCAATTATCGGGATAGCATGGAAGAGCCGAAATCTCTAACCGGAATGTAAATCGATTCGACGCCTCAGCTTCACAGAATGTCTCGGGGGAATCGTCCCAAACTTTTTTCGATTTTATGGTCAAGGGTTCGAATCCTGGTATGGTTGTATATCTTCCTCTATAAGTTTATTTTCTCTCTTCATTTTTCTTATTTCTTTCTAGTTTCTTCACGTACTGTTTTGTTGTGTTTCGATAGTTTTGATTTCGATCAGATTGTAGTATATATAATTACTTTTTTTCACTAGAGTAAATAATGCAACCAAACTAGTAGTATAAGATGCCTGAACTTCCCCTCTCAGTCACAACCCATGCAAATACAAAAAGTGGATAACACACATTTTCATAGTGTAAAAGATTTATTCGGGGATAAAAATGTCTATTTTCAGTTGAACGTTAAATGCCTGGCTCATCCCTGTTGCTGCACGATTTGACCACCATTGGCTGCATTAATTTGATGCATCAAATGCTGGACTTGTATTTCCAACAAATTACACTCAAACAACTTTTCCTGGTAGACTTTTTCAGCGACACCAAGCTGCATCTTGAGTTGCTCCATATGCTGGACAAATCTTCGGTTAGTAGAGGCAAGTTGGACGACCGCCATTTGCGCTTGATATCTCAACTCGTTGTTCTGACGCAGAACCTCATTTCTGTGCTTTCTTGTTTGTGTGAACTGCTTCAGTACAGAATTATATTCAATCTCCAATTCTGTATACCTGTGTTTTAGTTCTTCGTAAGATTCATTTTCTTCTTCCTGGCTAACTCTATTCGCCCATGAATTTCCATCGTCATAATTTGCAGCCTGCAGTGCCTGATTTGCTTCACTCTCCATTTTGGCCATGCGTTCTTCATAAGATGCTAACTCACATTTAGCTTCATTGTAACTTTGTTGGAGTTCTAAGATCTGATTTTCCTGGACGCATTTTTCATTTTGAAGGTTCTTTATGGATAATTCCAGGTCTGCCTGGTCTTTTCTCTGCAGTGCGCATTTTAAAGATTCGGTATGTAGTGATTTTCGAAGTTCTTCTATTGTATTTTCGGCCTCCTTTAATTTTTGATCGTTTATTATTCGTTCTTTTTCAACTTCCTCTTTAAAACATGTCATCTCATGCTGAGCTCTGGTCAAATTCTTTATTGCAGAACTCTTTTCCTTTTCAGTGTCAGAGTTTTGTTTTTCAAGAGAGTCAAACTTCTTTCCAATAGCAGCGACGCATTCATCAGCTTCCACAGCTAACGAGCGATTCAAACCTTTCTCTATATTCAATTTCTCCTGAAGGTGTTCGATTTGTAATTTGAAGTCTTCTTCCAGTGTTGAAAGCTCACTGCTCTTTTCTTGTAGTTCTGCCTCTGTTTTTAATAACTTTTCACTGTATTCTGTCAGTTTGACATTTGCGCGTTCTTGCTCTCGTTGCATCTTCCTTTCCATGGCAGCAAACTGAGATTGTTGCTTTTTGTAGGAATCTACTTCCTTCTCAAGACGATTCTTCTTACTCAAGACTTGGTTTAACAAATGGTTGGTGTCCTTTGCTAGTTTTGACGCTTCTTGATATTTATCTTCAATCTCAAGATATTCGTCTTTAGATTGTGTCAGATCGTCCTCTATTTGTGCAAGCCTCTCATTTGCACTTTTCAATTGTTCCTCCAACTCTTTTGTCTTTTGTTTCTCAGTTTTAAGCTCAAGCGTTATTTTCTCGTTTGAACTATTTGCACTTCTCAGCGATTTCTTGAGCTTGCTGACCTCTTTGTCTGCTTCTTTTAAAAGTCGAGTTAGGTTTTCCTTTTCTTTCTCTACCTCAAGCAAGCTGTTCTCACTGAGTTTGTTCACCAACATCATACACTCTTCAATTGTGTTGTCTTCCACAAGTTCAAACACTTCGAGAACATCGTCATCAACAATGGACACGTCTTTCGCCGTTGTATCGACGTCTTTCTTACTTTGCTCCATGACAATATTCAGTGCAGTTAAATTGCGTACAGAATTTCTTGGACTGCAAAAAGAACAAATTGACTTTTATGACGTCATAATGAGGGTACGTCACATTACGTCACGCACTTAGTCAATGTGATAACGAGGATGACCCCCACGATTTTTATAAATATTTTAAAATAGATATCATTTTATTCGCTATATTATCAGCAGGGTATTATCTTGTATAATTGACTAATTTTATTATCAAAATTGCTATATTGACTTAGTGAATTTAAATCATAACAAAAATAAATAATAATGATCAAAAACTTTTAAAAAGATATGTATTCAATCTTTTTGACAGCAGCCCAAGGTTTATACAGTGTCATGCTCCAATTCTTCAAGCCATTTCATGTGAATCAATATTAAATGAATAGATGCTATTCACATGCAATATGTATCACCTATCACCGAATAAGTCAGTTGTAAGCAATTATCACTTTACTTTGCGCTCACAAAGCCCGATTCACGAATAAAAAAAGTATAAAAACGTTAAAGTTTAGCAAAAGTACACAGAAAAAATTTGCAAAAAAGTATTGACTTAATTGTCTAAAAGCCAGAAACCGCCAGGCGCTTACCAGGATTATACGTAAGCACGAGAGACCATGTGGTATCCATGGCAACAGCTGTTTTTACGCAGCCATTCTACTTGCGGCATCAACTAAGAATCGAACACGGGATGTAGAAACTCAACAATTAGGCTTGATGGCGATTTAATTTACAGAAGCGGATCATTTATAACCTCTCGATGTTATGAATAACTTGCAGAATATGTGTGTGTAGTTCATTTGCAAGATATTAGGTCTTTTTTTTACCAATAGATCGTCAAAAACTGACAAGTTTGTCAGTGAGTTAGAGACCACGATATGCAAAGTGAGTAACCTAAACTCATATTCTATCTAACCTTTTAATTATGTTTTTTTGATTTCCTCTCCTGATTTTTTGCTTCTTGTAGTTCTTAATCATGTTTTTCTTTGCTTTGAATTACAGAATACAGAATCCTTGGCAAGAAAGGCGAAGGAACTTTCTCTGAAGTCCTCAAAGTCCAAGATGTTCGGAATGGAACTTACTTCGCTTGCAAGAAAATCAAGCAGCGATACGATAGGTATGATCTTTTTTAATGGTTTAAGCACTATTCCTTTTAACCTTAAGATTAATGTGCAATTCAAATGATTGTTTTCATTGAAGAATGAATTTGCTTTCCTGTAACCAGGATATTAGCAAATAAACTCACCGCTTGTCAAAAGGACAAGCCAAGCTAGCTTCAGCTGAGGATGATAACGTCTAGTATATAACGTTGTTTTCTTTTCCGCTTGATTTTCCCAGCATTGAGCAAGTAAATAACTTGAGGGAGATACAAGCAATGCGAAGACTAAGTCCTAACATGAATGTTGTGGAGTTGAAGGAAATTATTTTGTAAGTAAAAAAAATCAATTGTTTTCAAAACCAAATTGATCAAATTGCAATTGTTGTCCAAAATTTGCCTTAGTTGAGTGTTTGTATTCTCTTGTTAGGGCATTATATAAGAGCATATTCTTTAATAAGAAAACCCATTCGAATATTTTAATTTTACATCAACTTTTGAGCAGAATAAAATGGTTTCTTGTGCGGCGAAACCCTTTGATATGTGTTGTTTGCCCAAACAAAACATCATTTCCTTCAGTTTTGCCCTATTTTTTGTAACTAAGAGCTGTAGAGGTGTTAAAAAGGCTTTCAAAACTGCTCTTCGCTTGGTTACATTTGTTGGCAATAGGGCAATTTGGTTCCCTCATTAATTAGCAAACATGCAACATAAATATACTTCTAACTAAGTGCATGTATATCATGTAACATGTCTGTAAAACTAAATAATTTGACATCATTAGTACACAGTGTCTATTCCTTCATGGCAGCCATGGCATAAGATATTTGTTTACTAAAACAGAAAATTCCATTGCCATACATTGCAAGATACTGACTAGTTGATAAATTTTAATTTAAAAATTTCAACAAATAAATTTCATTTTTTGAGAATATCTTTCTATATTTTTAATATAACAACAAATATATATAGTTTATCCAAAACATAGATAACACACTGTAATAAATGCATTGAGTGAGATAAAAACAAAAAGATATAATTGAAAAAGTGATTAACACTAAAAGGTGTGAATTTTAATAAATTATAAATCCATCAGAAATTCAAAATTCTGTTATTTTTTTATTATTCAGTGACAAGAAAAATGGAACCTTAGCACTGATCTGCGAGCTGATGGACATGAACTTATATGAAGTTATACGAGGTAAAGAAAAATATCTTCCTGGACAAACTTTGTATCCAGGAAGTGTGTAAATAAGGTGTTAAGTTGTTAGCACCGTCATTTCCTGCATGAATGAAAGCCCAAAATAGTAGTAATTTCTGTGCATATTATATAGGACGGAGGCATTATCTACCTGAATCTAAGGTCAAGAACTATATGTATCAATTATGCAAATCAATTGATCACATGCATAGGTATGTTTCTATATTTTTTGCTTGATTATGAAAATATTTATGTATTTGTTAGTCTTACTATTTACTAAATGAACTGTCTGTGTGTCAACTTATGTTCATAGGAATGGTATATTTCATCGAGATATAAAACCAGAGAATATTCTTATCAAGGTAAAATGTAAAAATGAAAAAATATTCATAATCTGTTGCTGTCTATTGATCCTTTCTGTTTATTTTTCTACTTCTTCCTCAGGATGATGTATTAAAACTAGCAGATTTTGGATCATGTAGGAGTGTATACTCAAAACAACCTTACACAGAATATATTTCAACTAGATGGTATGTGTGGGTTTCCTGTGTACCTGTGTAATTTTCTGCTCTCTGTTCGGAGTCCCTGTGGCTGTTTTATCCAACCATTTTTATCCCTTTGCTTAATTCTTTTGTATATATTGATGTTCTCAGGTATAGAGCACCAGAATGTCTATTAACAGATGGTTATTATAATCACAAAATGGACCTCTGGGGTGTGGGGTGTGTGTTTTTTGAGGTCATGAGGTATGTCACACACTATGGTCATGTAAGTTACAATGAGTAAAGAGATCATAACATACATCTTTTTTCCATCAGTTTGCATCCTTTGTTCCCTGGTTCTAATGAAGTAGATCAAATAGCAAAAATACATGATGTCTTAGGAACGCCACCAGCTAGCATACTACAGAAATTAAGAAAGTAAGTTATATTAGTAATGGTTAAAATTAGATAAATTCAATTCATTGATGAAAATACAGTAGGTTCAAAATGAAAAAATTAATCATACTCATCAATCATAAATTCTTGTAAAAATGGTGCGGACTAATTTAATTTTTTTCAACCCGTTTACTTATTCATGCAAACTTAGCTCTTTTATTACAAAAAACTGAGGAAGGACAGAGTTCTGACCAAAACATCTGTGTTAAATTTTCATTAAAATCTTAGGCTAGCGACAAAATATTTTTATTCAGTTTTTATTGTGACTCTTCCTAGCTGCAATTTTAAAATATTTAGTAATCATCCTTCCCTTGTGTCCAAGTTATCATTTTTAGTGATTGAATATATCTTTTTTGCAGTAAATCAAGAAGTATGAATTTCAACTTCCCCCAGAAAAAAGGGACTGGCATCAGTAAACTTCTTCCACATGCATCACCAGAATGTATTGAGTTGATAGAACTATTGTGTACTTATGACCCTGATGAAAGGTATTTTTGTGTTATTCTCTGTACTTATATGATATGGCATAATACTTACTGACATAATACAATGTATCTTTTTTTAGAATATCAGCAAAGCAAGCGATACGACATCCATATTTCAAAGATCTAAGGTAACCAAGGTTACAGTACTGCAACGTTTTCAAAAAACAAAAACAAAATCAGTGCCATATTGGCTAAATTAAAATCTATAATAAAAAATAATTTAGAATAATATTATAATCTTTCATGATACAGGGAATTAGAAAGAAGGGCTGCTGCCAGAGCATCACCATCAGAAATGTCTGTCAGAAGCAATAAACCATTAAAGAAAAAGGTATTCAAAATTATAAACAAAATGACTGTATGAATCCAGGCCCTGACAGGCGTCAAAAGCCAGCATGAAACACTGTGTTCAATTCTTAGAATGGTGCTCATCTTGTCATAAATGATATAAAAGCAATAGAGAAACATGTAATGTCATATTTAATGTGAAACAATTGTCATTTTGCAGAAACGACATGTTGTGAACAAAATGAAAGAAACAACATTACAAGAGGTATTTATAACCACATGTAAAATAGAATTTTTTGGTCTTCAATGTTGTTCTATCATGCATCACAGATAACCATTGATTACATTATCCTTTTCTGCAGTCTATCCTTCCAAAGGAATTCCCATCAGCCATCATCCCACCACCACAATCTAACTACCACCCATTTGGAATGGGAACTAAAGGAAGTGTTTATAGTAATAGAACAGTTTTACCTAAGATACCACTTGCAACGAGCATGACAACGTCTTTTCCAACATCATTTCCTCCTATCCTTAATGACAAAACCAAGGTAAGTTTGAAAATGTCTAATTTGTGGGGCAGAGGGGTGGAACTGGACTGCTAAAAATGTCTATAATAGAAGTTAAAAATGCTATTATGTATTGTATCCACAGAAGACTAAAACTACCAAGCAGTACAACAACTATTCATTACCAGCCATTGATAAACAAGGAGGCGCTTCAGGATTCTAGTGAGATAACATTTTAGTGGCACTTCATGAGGACATGACTGTTCAATCTTTCCAGAAAGGAAAAGGGAAGGAAATCTGTTACCAGCGAGTTTGCAGTTCCACTGCATACAGGTAGCAGTAACAAGAAATTCTCTACAGTCAAGAGAATGAGAAGCTGTGCATGAAAGAACTATGAAACTCCTCACTTGATAACTGAATGCTTTGAAAGGCAAAACAATTCAACCTAAAACTGGTCAAGGAAAGCTGCATTAAAACAAAGAGAGAGAAATTACTTTATGTTTTTACAGAAGATCAATCTTTTTACATAGAATATAAATTATTTTTAATGTTACAAAGTTATTAGGGATTTCAGGCTCATACATTGTGGAAGATCTTTTAGTTTTTTTAAATCTATTTTGTTGTACCTTCTCATCCCTCAGAAGTCATACTTTATAAGTTTGTGATTACATAAATTAAAGTGTGTTATGATTATTATTGTACAGATATTTTAAACAAATTTATTAGTTTTTTTAATTAAAAGCATGACAATATTTTTATATGAAAAGAAACCTGCAGCCATCACAATGGTGTGATTCTTTAGTTATTTTCGCAACTCTACCAACACTTAAGTTTTATGAAGGGCATGTAGCATAACTGGTTTAGTGAAAATAGCATAAATATGAATGGTTTTATATTATATTGTACATAACAAGATGTGATGGAAATGATTTTTAAAAAAATTCAAATAAAATGTGTGATTCAATTGCAATTTTAGTATATTTGTTGCTTTTGGACTAGATTAACAACTAGAGGCAAAACCATGTGACAAACATAAAACCACTTCAAGCACCACTATTACCATTTCTTTCAAATCAAATCTTTTCTGCTGCATCGTTTTTCTATCAGTCAATAATTCAATCCTAATAAAAGTGTCCTCGAGTCCAGATGCCTTTTTTACGATTAGCAGTGTTCAAAACAACTCAGCAACAGTCTCCCCTGCAGCAGTTAATTTTSTTGAGCTTCCTTTTGCATTACAAAAACAATGCAAAAGAAGGCTAACAAAAGGAAAAAAAGACAAATGTATTAAAAATGAAGTGTGATTTAGTGGTCCAATACAATCAAAACCAGACGTTCTAAATGACCAGTCACCGCACTATGACAAACATTTGATAGTTGATTCACAATAACATGGTCTTTAAACGTAGTATTTACAACTAAGGATTTTCAGTCATGACAATGTATGTCCTAAATTCAGTGTATGCATTTTCAATGGTGTTAGTACACTGGACCAATTTCTGGGAGGTCAGTTTATGATTGACACACTTCAAAGCACAAAGAGTTTAATTATGCAAGAAAAAAGTCTCTGAGAAAATCAGTGAAGTGTGATGGCTTTGGTTCATTCAGCAGGAAATGTGCCAGTCACTTTTTTCACATTTAACTTGCATTAATTTTTTACCCTCATTTGATATCTAGGAATCATGATCTGCTTGCTTAGACTCTTTGAGACATATTATGTCTATTAACTTGTTTGTTATGATGGGTGTAGGTAATGACAATCAAAGCAGAAAGTTCAAATTTCAAAAATAGAGCAGTTTATTGATGTTGTAGTGAATAACAAAACATCAGTAAAAATGTTCTTGCTCAAATATGAAAAATATACATTTGAATTTAGTGTCCATAAAACATTCTTTGAAAAATGGAATCTTTTATGTTCTTAGAACTGTAACATTTTATAGCTGTGCTCCATGCTTTCCTTTTTACCTGAGTTTGAAAAACAAAAGCTTATTTTGTTGCTTTAAATTTTAATGTCAAAACACTTTGCTGTGACCATAGTCTTTTATTCAAAGTTGAAGTGCTCCAACCTCATTGATGTCACAACTTTATCAAGTGTTGCTCTTGACAATTTAATAGTTTCCTTGCCAAAACATCAGGCTTTCACACTCAAATGACAACACTTACAACTTTTTAGTGTTTATAAAAATATTCCTATGAATTTTCCAAAAGACATAAAACACAACATCACGGCTTATTGTGTTGGTTTAAAGTATGGTAATATGGAACTGTGCTTTTGAAGGTTTCACCACTCACTTTCACTAGAATCATCTCCCCAGAAAAACCATGGATCTTGATAATCACTCTCATCATCATCATCACTAGAACAGTCGTAGTAACTCCTGTTATAGCGAACCAGGCTATGCGCTGCTATTCTATAGTACTGCTCATAGCAAAACTTGGGAAGCTTGAGTTGAACAAAGTGGAAATCATCAAAGCCATTAAGTAGAGATCTGAACATTGGAGATTTCTTCCATAGATCCTTTTTCTTAGAGTACTTCCAAGACTGTCCACCTGAGATTACATAAACTTCATCATTCAAAGACAAAGAAATCTTAGGAATTCTGTTGGGAAGTGCTGGAATGAGTGTCCACTTGTCAGAAGATTCCTTGTAAACTTCACAACAGTAGCCTGGCTCTGTTCCAGTCAATCCACCAATAGCAAAAATGCCATTACTAGTAGCAACAACTTGAGGATTGACTCTTATATAGAACATATCAGCCATTGAGGTCCACTCATTTGCTTCAGGGTTATATCTTTCAACTAGCTTTTCCCCTACAGTCACATGACTTTTCTTTCCTCCAATGGCATAGATATAGCTGTTCGTGGCAACGGCTCCAATCATACATCTTGAAGTGTTCATCTTGGCCATTGCTTTCCACTCTCCTTCATTTGGATCATAGCATTGCATATCTACTGTTCTATTCTCAAAGCTCATACACCCTCCAAGAACATACAGCTTCTCCTTGAGTGGCAAAACAATTGCCTTATCATAACATACATTTGGTTTTAAGAGACTTTCATTGATTTCAACCCAGAAACGATCAAAAAATCTATTATTTGATCCTAATTTGTGTTTCATCAGACTAGTTGCATTGTCATCCCAATCATGTCTATCACGGCAAATGGTATACAACTCTCGTCCAATGGCTGCGGCACCAAGTTGAAAGAAGGGAGAAGGTGGGTCTGGTAACTTGTAGATCAGCTCACTTTGAATGTCATAGCAAAATGATGTACGTAGATTCCCCCTTCCAACACCAATAACAACATCATGGATCCTAGCTGAGGGTCTCTCTTTCGACATAGGCTGCTTGTTAGATCTCGCAGACCTTCGTCGTCGTCTTTGCTGTTTCAGAAAGTTTTGACAAAATGAATTGTCTTCAAAGATGGGATCTTTTTCAAACTGCTCTTCAAGAAACTTAGGTGATAAAGAACCATACCGTAGACAGGGCAGGAGAATAGAAAGTTCTTTGGTTCTGTCGCTGGGGTCATGTTTAACCCAGTTCAATATTGCTTCAAAAACTTCTTCCTCTTTTTCTACTCTCACTGAATCACTAGAAATAAGTTCTTTCACCTCATAAGGCTCTAAATCTAAAAATTCCTTTTGCTGCTTGGCTGCTTGGAAATTCTCCTTCATAAAAGAGTCGGCTTTTCTTTTCAGCTCATCTAAGGCATATCTGTCTGCAAGGCGTTTGGTAGAAAAGCAGTTAGAAATGGACAGATTGCTGGATATTATCGTTGCACATGCATTCTTCACATGATTAAGAAGGAGAAAACTGGCTGCTTCAAGCAACTCCTCTGCGTTGTCTTTGTTGACTACAATATCGCGTGTGTAGAAGAAGTCAAGAATTGTAGATAGAGCCGAGCTACTAAGAGAGCACAGTTTTATATGTTTCTCGTTCGAGTCTCTCATTCCACTGGTAAAGAGAGTATAAAAAAACTGACTATTAGCTGCCAGAACACAGCGGTGAGCAGGGAACGATTGGCCATCCACTTCCAATACAACATCACAAAACCCGGATTCTCCTTCTTTTCTAAGGACATTCAAGAACGAAAGAAAGTTTTGACGATCTCCACGGAATGTTCGGCCACCACCATTAAGATAAGTTATTTCTAATAGTCGTTCTTTGTCAAGACGAGTGAATGCTTCCTCGACGCCATCTTTGCTGGCAGACATCTTGGATGGTTTTCGCCACATGCCGATGCGCGCGCTTGCGCGAAAACCTGCTGGCGCGAAACTGATCAACCGGAAGTGAATTCTCGTATTACAACACTCACAGTTTTCAGAAAAAGGAGAAAACTTCGTTGTAGCAATTTCCAATCCACAAACTAAATTTTTCAGTGTAGCTTGGTAATTTATCAGGTATAGTAGGGGGTTCGAGGGGGTTCTTTATATTTGTTGTTGTTGTTTTTATTTATATTGGATGGTACCTGTTTCGGTACAATTGATTGACATTTTATTGTTGGTGTGATTTTTAAAACCTCTATAACATGTATAGAGGACTTTTTGAAATATCAATGGCCAGAGATTTTAAATTCTCAGACAACACTGCATTACAATAGGAAGTCAAACACATATAGGCAATAACAATTTATTTCACAAGAATGCACAAGTCGACTGAAAATTGTTTTACACAACACCCAAGCATGTTTACAATAAATTATTATATCTATTTACTGACATTTATTTGAACAAAACAAGATAAAAATACAGAGGACTATTTCAAAATTTATCATTTTTTTCACTTTTGGTTTATTGATCACTACTGTTGATAGCCTCCCTTGAAGTAAATTTTCAATGCTGTACTCCCTGCGTGTTTAAAATATCGATCATTGAACTTCATACAGAAGAATTCAGATGTCAAGGGACACTACCAAATTGAATGATTTATTATTATATTTGCAAAAATAGTACCTCTGGCTCATAATAATTATTAGACATCATTACAATATAAGTGCTGTTAAGTGCTTGCTAATAAGGAACTTAAGCTTTGACAAATGAGTATAAGATTGAGTATGAGTTCCAGTTTTCAAACTGGCCTTGTGTTTGATGCTGATTCTTGTAGCTCTGTATAGATTTAAAGAAGTTGACTGTAATTCAGGATTAATGATAAACACAGGGCTGAGTTTAAAGCTTGTACTCAATCATACACTTATTTTCACTCTGTTCCTTTGTGTAACCCTCATAACAGATGTTGTATACAGTTCACAGAAAGCTCTTCAGCAAACTAGATAAAACGTCCACAACAGTGTTGCTAATACAGTATAAGATTCTGACTTTTCACTTGCAGCAACAAAACCTCATCTCGGTAGTTTCTAAGTGAGCAGTAATGAGCTTCAATTCCTTGGTTCATTGACTACTTTCTTTATAGAAACATAATGATCTCTATTATGCTAGATAAGGATATTAGACCTGCTAGATATGTGATGCTCATTTAAGTCAATAGATTTGAAAATAAGAAGTTCATATCACAAAACACAAATTAAAAATGACAAAAAGACTTAATTGGATGTTTGGGTTAGTAAATCAAACTCCATGGATACTCTAAGAAATGCATAGTGTTCCCTTGCCAACAAAAGGAGAGATAACTGAAAAACATTCCTTTTAATTAGGCACTTGATTGTGTGGGTGCTTAATTATTTTCCCAGAAGATGTTTTCATTAGAACCATTGCAAAGAATCATTTATAATAATACATGCTGACAAAAGGACATGTTAAAATATAATAACACATGAATATTATGGACTAAAAGTTATCCATAAATAATAATGGCGATATTCAGGAAAGCTACACCTCAAATCCTAATCGATAATACTTTCAAAAGAAAGAAAAATAATAATGTTAATAATAATAAGACAATAAAAAGAAACAGAAGTAGGAATACACCAGGAAAGACTTGCAAAATGCTTCTTTCTTTTTCCCAAAATACTCTTCAAGTTGGATTTTCTATTTTAAAATGTCTTTGCACAAAGATTGAAATATGTACATAAGCTTCTTCCTATCAGTTACATAAGGTCACAATGGATTGCTGTTTCATCTTAACCACAACTTGAGTCTAAGCGCATCTACACCATTAAGGTAATACCTAAATAATCTTTTATCACGAACAAAACCTAACTTCTCGTAAAGATGAAGAGCAGCTTTATTGGTGATTTCTGTTTCAAGGACAACCTGGAGAAGTAAGAAAATTAATAAACTATGAGAACACTGCCAAAGCCTCTGAAGGGTTGTGGAGCTGGTGTGGAATTTCTTGATAAACAAGACATAACCCAAAACACATGGAAAGTATGGTGTCTTTCCTTACCTCATCACAATTATCCTCTATCATGGCTTTTATTGCTTTTTTAACTAATTTTGTACCTGTGTGGAAAATGTCAAAAGAATGCAAGTTTTAATTTCTCTTCCATTGATACTAGTGCAAAAAAAAAAAAAAAGACAAATCTATGATAAAATTTCTTCTAACATTTCCTTCTTTAAATCTTAAGAAGAATTTTTGCCATTTTATTAAAGTTTATACAAATAAACAGAACTCTCTTCACAGTAATCTTTTTAGTTAGCATATCTAAGTCATATTTTATTTCACAATCTATTTTTTTATGGAAGCCATGAATCATTAATGACATTTTCAACACAAAAATAATAATATAATCATAATCAAATAAGTTATTCAGAAAACAATTACTTTGTTATCATTTCTATACAGTTGAACTTTAGAATCCCATTCATACTTGGTGTACAAATTCAAGACTATAAAGAAGAAGAAGCACAACTTCTTTGCTGAAGTTTTTGAATCTACAGGATAAATCTATATCATACTTCAGACAGAAGTTTCTGGATGGCAGCACAAAGTGCAGAGTCATCACTATGTGTCTTCAAGGTAGAATATATAAGGTGACAAGTTCTGTTGGTCATCTAGTGTTACATACTATTATTTTCAGCATGTGATTGACATGTGCAATATGACCATGCCAATTTAAGATTCATTTAGATTATTTTAGAAAATTCACCAATAACAACACTAGAATTAATTATTGATTTTAAACAAAAGAATGTTTTGTAGAATATTAGTATTCACTTGTATGTAAATAGAGCATTACTTTGTTACTTACCAATTTTATGCCGTCTAAATTCTTTTTCTACAGCTAACATTGCTATATACCCTCGATGTACCATGTTTTTATGTACATCTAGTTTACAAACTATTGCTCCTACACATTTTTCTTGGTACATTGCCTGTAAAATATACAAAACAAAAATGAGATGCATCAATGATGGTAGATAAAAGTACTTAACAATGATACATAGCAAGTTAATTATGACTCAATACACTAATAAAACAGCAATAAAAGAGAGAAAATGTTTTAACACCCTCAACAAAAGTGTTACAGTTTTGGTTGACCTTGGTTTCTACTATTTTGTCAACTGCTAAAACACGATGGTGATAGTAATATTTGTTGTTATACAAAAACTAGGAAACAAAATAAAAGTGCTAAAAGAAGTATCAAATAAATACCAAAATTAGAAATAACTAGATAAATAATGAGGCTTATATACCTTGCACATTGTTTTCCTTTGTTCTATACTAACTAGTAACCTAGTAAGTAGTGATTTTCTTTTCACAGTTGACAGGAAATCATTGTATTTCAGGAGAAAACAATAGCAGAGAACAAGGTAATCACTCTTTTTGTAACCAAAATGTTCTTCATTTGAATGAGACACGTTTATTTTGTCAATAATCATGTGGTGTACTCGTTAAGTAATGTGGGCTGTTTTTGTTCTTATTGGCAACCCTGACACTTCCCAGTATTGATCTAAGTATTGTTTAAAATTGGATTGCACAAAGGCCACAATAGCTTACAGAAACTGAAAGCAAAAGGAGCAATGGAATAGATGTGAAATAAAATGAATGGATTTTTTCATATTTACGTAATAAAAGCCAAGGTCACTAGGTCAATAAGAATAATTTTATGTACTCCCAAGTAATAATCGTGTATATGATAATCAATATTTGTCAAACTCACTGCATTGTACACCATGTCGTTTTATTGATTTAGGAGTGGCATAAAATGAATTCCTAATTCTTGAACTCTTGTCATCCACATAAAATCAAGTGTATGAGTATTATATGATAGATAGGGGTATACTATCAGATATTTAGCAGTCTAAATCTATCAACCTTACCAAAAAACACAAGTTGGGCCAGTTGTGTATAAAGTATCGGTACGTGTAAATTGAGTATGGTTCTGAGAGATCTTTGGTGATTAAAGCCATTATTGCCCCCATTTGAAGTTCTGACTCGTAACCTACATATTCAATTTTCTCTTCACTTGGCTGCAAATCTTCGACAGTGTCCGAGGAAATTTCTTCGCTTTCAGTTCGATCAGTATTTTGCGAGGTTGGCGATGAAGTGGATGGCTCGTTCACAATTTCGGGATTGATATTTTTTTCGCAGTTTGTAGGTAGAGCCATTCCATTCATATCTCCTAACTTCTTAACTGGTATAGGTATATGGACGTCTTCTACTGTCATTGATTGAGATGATTTACAGGATGAGTTGACGGTGTCAGATTGATTTAACTTGCTACCTTCATCGTGATCACAGTGCAGTCGAAGTTCAGAGATACCATTGCCATTGGCCAGCCTTGACATATCTTGTAACGTAGCAACTTAGCTGCGTGACTCGAACCTATAGTCTTTCATAATATAAGGGACAGGATTAGAGGATCACTAAATATCTCACAAACAAACAAAAACTACAAGTTTTGAGCCGGCAACGACACACACATTTCACCCAACTTCACCGCCATGTTGGATGTACAACTCCCGTGAAGCACCATGGGTAAATGCCGCGAGGAAGACTAAAACTACAAAGGGATCCCATTCTGATACTCAACTATAAACAAATAGACAGACAAATAAATAAATAAATAATGATTAATGATTTTTTTGCCTTATTTTCTTCTTTGAAATTTATTCCCATGCCATGCCTATTACCAGTCTACTCATCGCAATCGGAGCTGAAGAAGGCCAGGCTACCAAAGTGCCAACATGGCGGCTTCCGAAGGTCCAGTAGTTGTTCCTTCTGAATCGCCTTCATCTTGCTTCAAGAGGGATGATTTCATGAAGACATCGTTTAGTGTTGATTCTTTTGTTAGTACTTACAAGGGCTTGGTTTCTCTTGATGTTTTAAAGCAAGATCTAGAGGAATATTTGAAATCTTTAAGACATGCATTGATTGAGTTGATCAACCAAGATTATGCAGACTTTGTTAATCTATCAACCAATCTGGTAGGTTTGTTGTTAATTAATTAATAGCTTACAGAAATTGAAGAATATTTGGAATCATATACATGTACATATTAGTAATTAATGCCATAACTAGCCTAAATGATGTTATTGATTTTAAAAATTTAAGTTATAAATCACAATTTATTAAGATTTTTTATATCAAATGCTCCATAACCTTTGTTCAAAGCTAAAGGAGACCAGTTAGCGTGCAATGATAGAAACCTCTTTCTTTTAAATCTTCCTGTTGTAGTTTTTTTTACCCATAACTCCCAGTTATTTTACATATAAGGAAGGTACTAAGTGTTACCATACCTGTAGTTATGATTTTACCCTCTAGACCTTTTGTTTCTTATTTGTTGCAAGAAAAATTGGTCATCTTGCTTCAGTAGGGTTAAGATATAAGTTAGCTCATTATAGCACTGTGGAGGGAAACTTTATTTTACAAAAAAAAGCCCAGATGCTCAGGATGATGCAAGAGATTGCAAAGATTGAAAACGATAAGATTGAAGCTATAATTTAATAAATAACTGAATTTTCAAGGTTGGAATGGACAAAAGCATTAACAACCTATCAGTTCCATTAGGCCAGCTCAAAGAAGAAGTATTGGTGAGAGAATTTTATAAATTGAATGACATGATTTATATGCTCAAGAGTAATTTGTCCAACCTTTTTTAAAATCTATTTGAATCCTATTTTAGCTGATCAGAACAGAACTTGATGGAACAATTGCCTCTATTGAGGGGAAACTTGATGCAAGGTCACAATTGAGGCAGAAAAAGGTAAGATCATTGCTTAAAATCAGAGTTTGTACAGAATGTTTCATAAAAAGAAGTATAAAATAATAATAAAAATAATGTCTTTTAGAAACTATTGATTTATTTAAGTTATTGGAATTTAGCACTCCCTTATGGTAAAGGAAAGTGGAGTGAAAGGGAGTGCATGATGATTTGTATAAATATTCACTTAACAGGGTTTACAAAAGCATTACATGCCACATTCAATGCTATTATCTCTTTTAATTGATAGATATGTATGCAACATTTACTTAACATTACAAAATCCCTTGAGAAGATTGAGAGACTTCTGCATGGATCCCTCACAGATGAACCAACTTCAACCGGCAATGAAAGGTATTGAAATGAATGCTGATTCTCTGTTTTGAGAGAATAACACATAATATTAAAACAAATTGAATATGACAATGTTATTCTGCATCCCAGTGAAGACGAGTCTCATCTGATAGAAAGAGTGGCAAGTGAATTCAATCAGTTGCAGTTTTATGTCACCCAAAGTCAAGGTCATCCACTGGTAGAAAACATTAGATCTGTAAGTATGACAAAAAATGAAAATCTTTCTATTATATTATTACATTAAAAATTATTTTTAAACCTTGATTTTCCAGCGTATTTCTGCCATTACATTGACACTTCAAAAGAAACTTGAGACAGCATTTCAAGAGGGAATCCAGTCTGGTCAATTTCATTTGCTGGCCAGGGTACTCAGGACATATGCTATCATTGATAAAATAAGAGATGCTGAACTGCTGTTCAGAGATGTTGTTGTTAAACCATACATGAATGAGGTATGTTTGATAAAGGAAAGCATAGTATATTGTTGAATTGACATATCTAATTGACTATTGTGTTAATTTACCAGGTGATCTTTGAGCACATATTGTTAGCAGACCCAGTCAATGGACTTCAAGATATCTACACCAAAGTACTTGACTTCATTCCTAATTACTGTACAAACATGATAAAAATTACATCAGGACGACTAGAGGACTCCAATCAAGGAGAACAGAGAACTGCAATTCGTGGCTATGACTTCATTGTCAATGCTGTATGGCCTGAAGTTGTTGAGCTTATTGAGGGACGATTGCCTTCCATATTTGCACCTGGAAATCCAGACGCATTTCACAAGGTTGAAAAGAGTATTATATACAACTGCTTCAAACTTAACATTATTATAAAATTTTTTTTTCAATTTTCTAATTTCTATAATTTTTGATTTAAAGAGATATACAACATCCATGTGGTTTGTAGAAAAGTTTGAAAGTCTCTGTCCCTCACAAACCAGTGTWAGAAGATTGAGAAATCACAAGAGTTTTAGTTCATTCATGTCACATTGGAGTCTACCAGTTTACTTCCAGATAAGGTAGAGAGAATCGTCATGTACATACGCCCTGTCTTAGTTTGTATGAGCACGTTTGCTCTTGATAAAGTGGGCAATAGTTAAGAGAAGGAGACTCACATCTACCAACACAATTTTGAATTTTGTCATTGTCTTCCCATGATTTGTAGCTGTGAAACAAGGAATGAACAAGAGATATTAACTCATAACTGACAGTACAATGGAAGAATATACAATTAATAGCAATATATTATTTGGTTTAAGGTTTCAAGAAATTGCAGGTAGATTGGAAACCATTTTGAGTTCTCCAAATACTGAAGGTAGCTATTAGTAAGATATTACAGGATTTCTTTTTAAAAACACAAGCATTTGATGGATTGCAAATTAACTATAATGGTTCAATCAAAATTGATKTAGTTGAAGGTTCATTCAAGACATCTGTGGCCAATGTGCTGTGGTGGGGTTTGCAGACWTGTTGGATAGAGTCTGTTTACATCAAGGCTTTGTGTCACAGGTTTTGGAAACTCACCCTACAGGTATTTTTAAGGAAAAATAAATTACTTTATTGTAACAGAATTTACAATATTACAGTTTCTCTTTTGTTGATAAACAAATATGGTTCTGAGAATTTTGAAGAAGTTAAAGGGATGTTTTTGTTCTTGCAGATCATTTCACGGGTTACCCAATGGCTTGTTATGGAAACGCTTTATTCTAACCAAGTATGTCCCTTCTTTTATTCATTTGTTTCTTTTATCCCATTTACTGGTAATTATTCTCATTTAATTCATTCAGGTCATTTTCCATGTAATCTGATGTGTTATGTATAATTTATTTTCAAGGATGACAGTGAATCAGCTAAACCACAGACCTCTTATTTTGTGTACCTTCTTAGTGATGTTAACACTCTATCAAGCCAGGTCAGTAGTTACTTGTATTGCCCACAAATAATCTATTCTCAAAACATAATAATTTGATAAATGTTCTGAAATCATTTCTTGCAGATACCAAAGTTGTTTAAAGAGGCAATAGAACCAAACATAGTATCTACAGGACTACAAGATCATATCAATGTTTTTGAAGGTAAATTACAATATTATGGTTTGTGTATAGTAACTAGGATCACAGTGAAATAATTTTTTTGAATCTTTTTAAAAAACAGATGCCCTTCATGAATCATTGAGGAAATTGAAAGAGATTGTCCCAACAATAGAAGAGACAATTATCAAACAAGTTGTGAAGAAGTCATCAGCAGGACTTGATGCAGCTAGAAACATCCCAAGACTTTACAGAAGAACAAACAAAGAGGTATGGTGTAAATATCCTATTGTTGGTTATACATTAATTGATATGGAAGTAAAGAATTAAATATGTGAGATCTACTTTCAATACACAGATCCCAAACAAACCATCAGCATTTGTTGCTATGGTAACCAAACCACTACAGGATTTCCAACAAGAGTACAAAGATCTGGTGTCAACAGATCAATTCCTTTACTGGTCATCAAAGGTTTTCCAAACTATTTTTGAAAGGTAAAATTTATCAAACCACTCTCCCTTATTTGGGGATGGAGCCGAAGCAGGGCTTTAAAGACATACAGCGACCTGTCTATTCATGGGAAATTGAGTGACATTAGTGTGGAGGCATAATGGGGGCCTGAATTCCAAAATACAGCAAATACCAAATAACGCAATTGAATTTATAAAAATACTAATTTTGTAATGGTAGGCATGGCAATAAATGGATTAGATGATATATTTTACTTGTCACACAAGTGATGCAATTCTTTAGAATATTAAACTATTGTTTTTCTAAGGTATGCCACTATTACATCTGATGTATTAACATCCATCAAGAAAACTGAGGATAGTTTGTTAAGACTAAAGAAAACAAGAAAAGGTGTAACCATGACAACTAGCAATACAGACAACCAAGGAACCATGAGTGATGATGATAAAATCAGACTACAGTTCTCTCTGGATGTTGAAGAATTTAGAAATATGGTATAGTGAAATTGATAAAACATAAATATTATACAAATTTACCAAAATTTTTCTACTAGAGAATAACAATATCTTTTTCTACTCGGGATACCTGTGTAAGGACTGGTACAACAATGTTTTGTCAGGGGTAGTGTCAGTCCTTACACAGGTATCCCGAGGAGTATCAATATAACTGTGCCTGTTTTTATTGCAGATGAGAGAATTAAAAGTAAAGGAAGATTCATGTCCAGCTTTTGTAGAGTTGTCAGTAATGGTTCGGGCTGCACAATCGGGATCAAATGGACAAACCTCATAAATTAGATTTTATTTATTTATCTTATTAGAAATGAAAAACAACGATATAAAAAAAAATAATAAGCAATGTGTAAACAGAAACATTTTTAATGAGAATTTGTGTTTATAGTAATTTCTGTTTAAGAATTACAAATCACAGACAGTCATGATAGTTGTTCCTTGTGGAATGGTATTAAGCTATGGGTAGCTCCTTTGCAGGGTCACTTAATGCTGGAGTAGCCTGCGTGGCGGCTCTAGGGGAGGGGGGAGGGAGAAAACGGAAGGGGAGGGGGTGGGGAGGCAGAGCGAAAAAAAAAGAGAGCCTGCCAGAACGAGCCGCTAAATCGTGTATTGCCTACTAGAGGTCATTGAACCGGAAATGGTTCGTTACTTGTCAATTTCATGTTATGTGTTTGTCACCTTCTTGTTACCAGATTTATTTATAGTTCAAAGCGCCTTTCGAAAAGCAAACATACTACGGTACCCTGCAAGCAGAGTGTATTTCCTTACCTCAATAAAAATTCGCGAAGGAAAATATTCCTTACCTCAATAAAAATTCGTGAAGGAATTTTTTTTGGTCACCGGATGACCAAAAAAAAATTCCTTCGCGAATTTTTATTGAGGTAAGGAAATACACTCTGCTCGCAGGGTAATACTACGGTAGACTGTCTTGCAAATTCAACAAAGCAACACATGAATTTCGTGTATGTACGTTATGACATTTGACCTTCATCTTTCTATAGTATAAAGACTCTTTGAACTTCGGCTGAAAGCTTCGGCTGTACGTAGAATACACATTCACGGATGCTATTTTAAAAACATGTAGCTACTTATGCTACTCTTTACAAAATGACAAAAATGAAAACAGAGATACACACGACTTGTTGGCCGATCAAGATCACAGTTTTCCCTCACTGACTTTTCAATGTAGCGATCAATAAATTCGACTTTGTAAACCATCTTTCCGTGTTGTTTTGGTTTTCAGAGTTCTCGAAATTGCCTGGATATCTTTATTTTGACAGCGAATTGAAAACGTCAATCACAGCGCTGATTTAAACCAATCAGGAAGCGCGGCCTCTGGAGGCTGCGAGTACACGATTTAGCGGCTCGTTCTGGCAGGCTCTCTTTTTTTTCCGCTCCGCCTCCCCACCCCCTCCCCTTCCGTTTTCTCCCTCCCCCCTCCCCTAGAGCCGCCACGCAGGCTAATGCTGGAGGAGCCTAACTAATAGGGTAGAGTAACATATTATAGATTCATTCATAATTTGTGTACATAATTAAAACATAAATGCTATTTGGTAAATAGGATAAAGGTATACACATGGAAAAATAAATCAGACTTTTTAAACACCAGTGACTGTTGGAGTTTTGTTCAATTCAACATTCTGTGATTCTAACAATGTTTTCTTTTTCTTGGGATCTAAATCTTCATCTTGTAAAAGCTCATCAAAGGATTCAATAGTCTTGTATGTTTGCTTGTCAGCATTGCTCAGAGGTGAATTACCTGGACGGACGCTAATGACAGTTTCAACTCCAGCTTCAGTAGCAGCTTCAGCCTCTAAATTCATGAAAAATTTAATAATGATCATTAGTATATGTTTCAAGAATGAATACAAGATTCAAACAAGATATTTTCATATTCTTTCATATACCGTATATTACTCATACAAGAGAATGAATGGATGAAACCTACCTCCATGATGTACTAACAAACTTAAGATTAAGCTTTTTAGTTTAAAATGTATGGTTGACTTTCTCACCTTTTACAACATCAGTGACAAACAAGATTGCACTTGGATCCTCTTCGATGGACTTTGCAATGTTTTGGTAGCTTTCGCTCTCTATTTTTAACCCTATCTTTGTATCGAAATGTCCACTAAAAAACTAAAACACAATAATACTTAGTTACAAGCTACTTTAAGGTACATTAAATTTATTCTTGGTTGTATATATAAAGTCTTAGGTATATAAACTCCAAATACTCCAAATAAAAGGAACATGACCATGAAAAACTGGCAGAGAACCTCCTATATAGATTGTCCAAATACCTTGAGCAGATTCCCCTCGGTGGAATACCCAAAGAGAAGCTTCTGTGCCTCAACACTACCAGAGGAGTAAATATAAACCTTGTATCCTAATGATGTCCATCTTTTCAGAGCAGGAACTACATCATCATAAATCCTGAAAGTACAAATAGAATTATACCAGTAAATATACATTATGTTTTGGATCGAGTGGCACTGTTTCCTCGATGACATACTCTCCCTTGAGTTCACCATCTTCATATCCCTTTGTCCAGATATGACCTTGCAGCTGCTTAAGGGCAGTCACTTTGCGGTCTGCATCCATCAGCCATGCTACACTTTTCACAACAGAATTGATAAGGTTTTGCCTACAGACAGAAAATGAGTTTTTTGAAATAGTTGCTATAAATATTGAAGTTTAAAAATACTGCGTACCTTGATTTTTCATCCATGCCTTTTATATCTTCACTCTTACATATTGATATAACTCCTTCTAAATCTTTATCTTTTTCTGACTATATAAAACAAATTCTCATTAATAATCAGTCACTGATTTATAATTCCTTGTGTCTCATGATATTAGCCTGCGTTACATCCGGAATATTCTTCGATATATATATTTGTGAAATTTCCGGGATGTAACGCAGGCTACATGATATTTCTTCTCTATAGAGTGAGGTTAAAGAGAGGCGGGGTGGACCACCAAAGGTGTTTTGATAATATTTAACAATTAGATCTTGAGGGCGAGTGGACCACGAGCTGATAGCCCATGAGGTCGAAGGATGAGGGCTATCAGCTCGTAGTCCACGAGACCGGACATAAATAACTAAATGTTTTTATTGCTAGAAATACACAAAGAGTTGTCGCTTTTCGCTAGTCGAGGACTAAAATAGAAAATAGAAAATAGACCCTGAGTAGCGAAGACAACCAGAACGAAGGATTTACAATAGTCCACTAGTATATGGTAATAATAAGGTCTATCATACCTGTTTCTGCAAGGCTATTATGTCTTGTTGACATTCTTCACTTTCCCAGTTGTTATTTAAATATTTTTCGACATTTTTTCTCGCATAGGGGAATAATGTGTCCTTCAAAATAAAAATGAATGAAAAAATGGGAGGATATATGGTCGAATAATTGCAACATAAAGCACCATTTTAATTTAAATATATTCAATTAACAATTATCGACTTGATCTGTTCAAAACAACCTTAGCCAACATCCTAATCAGCATTCATACCTTAACAAACGTAATAGGTGTTGTGGTTCCTTCAATATCAAGTAAAATTACGTTATAAGGGAGATTTTTTCGTCTCTTCGATCCAACTTTATTTCCATTTGCCGCCATATTTAATGTTACTAGGCCCCAGTCCCTTAACTGAAACACGTGTTGTCTTGTGTTCGACTAGAATTAGTATGCTGAAAATACTCTCCTTGAATCCGTCAAGTTACGTAAAGCAGCACCGTTCTACTGAAATAAGTGCTTTCTCTCCATTCTATACTCCTCACCGAATCGCATTCTAGATTTATGGAGCTTAACTGACAAGCACTTGCCCATTCTTCGCAGCTACTAGGCTTTCCTTCCGTCCCCTACACTCCAACTTTTAAACTATAAATTTGAATCTCTCTTGCTCTAGCCTTTTCGTTCTTTCTCTCCGGTTGGCAAAGGCAAGACGACTTTTCAAGACGTTTATTTAGTTCAACTGATAATAATAGTCTAGACTTACTTTTACAATGTAAATATGTGTAAAATTCAGAAATAGTCACTTCATATGAAATGGAAATAAAAAACAACAACAAAACGATAACTTTCCATCAGATTGGCATCCATCTAGCTTTTTTGCGATGAATTATTTTTACACTTTTACATAATATCTACTTTTCTTTCATCCTTTCCTCGGTGAGTAAGTGTTTGATATTAAACAAAAAGCTCAGGAAGTAAAATCAGTATCTAATCTATTTACATTCAAAGACTTCATTTAATTGTCCTCATTTACTTCATCAATCACTTCAAATCCGTCCATAAAATCTACGTCTTCATTGTTTTGATCAGATGTAAGCTCCAGCTTTGCCTTTTGAGCCTGTCTTGTACTCTTCTTTGTTCCTCTGCCACGACCCCTTCCACGACCTCCTTGCGCTCCTCCGCGCGCTGATTTTCTGCCCCGTCTTGCAGCAGGCGTGGCCCTGGTCTTTTTGATCTGCGGTTCTTCATCATTCAATACTTCGCCTGCCAGTTCAGATAACGATACGTCTTGTTCTATAGATATATCTGCAATCTCTTCGCTGTTAATCTGATAAAAAATAATTAGATAAAAATATAAGCAATTAGGCTTCATCAATATTCAGTGTGTTGTGTACAACTCACACAATTCCATTACCATGCCAATTTACCAAATTTTTTCACTTTCAATTACGAAAGGGATTATGTTGAAATCTTTATCAGGGAACAAAAAAATGCCTTTATGGATCTGAGTAACTTTATAGCATTTTTTTCAATTGGTAACTTTTTGAAAACTGCTTTACTGCAAAAGGTTTTTCCTCGTCATACACATTCCCCATGATTTAACTGCTGTCTTTAAAATTACCTTTTCTTCTTCTTCCTCATCTTCTACCAAAGAGTCATCAACAGCAAGACGATCGTCTTCCATTGGATGATCTTCGTTATGTTCGCTAGTATCTTCTTCTTCTTTGTCTTGCGTTTCTTCTTTTTCTTCATCAAGAGAGGCATCATCATCAACAGCTTTTCCATTTTCATTATTTTCATCTTGCGCATCATCATCATTCTTATCATCCATTGATTGGTCTGCACCGTCATCATCATCATCTCCTCCTTCTTCACTATGAGCAGCAATGTACTTCACGGGTTTGACCTGCAAGGATACCAAGACTATATATTACTAACACACAATTAAATATAATAAGGGACAGGAAACCTTTTCCGGAATGATGTGTCAGGAAAGACATGAGAAATTGAATCAATGACATATTAGATGTCTCAATATTCTTTAGTTTGTCATCATTTACATCTTGATACAAAAGGAAGACTCGCAAACTAAATTAAGTTGCTTACATTTATTGAAGTCTCGTGTCTACCATATCTTGAGGGATTCCTGACTTCTTCTTCTTCATCAGAAACTTCATACAAGAGAACGGTTTCTCCTTCTCTATCACTCAACATATCATCAAGCTCCTTGTTTCTCATCTTTTGATTTGCTTCATACTTGGGGTGTTCACGGATGTAAGTCTACGCAACAAGAAAGGCTGATTTGAGCGTGTATTGTAAAATTTCAACTGGTTTGACGGCAGAATAAAACAACTGTGTCATCAAGCGATTGCATTTTTACCCTGTAATTTGTTTGATGTTTTCGTCCTTTGACATGTGACAACACGTCCCGTCCATGCTGTATGAATGACCTACATAGTCGACATTGGAAACCAGTGACAGCTTTGACAAACTCACAACCTAGAGTAAAGAAACAACTTCATTTATTAACATTTAGAAATATTTACAAAGAGTGCTATTTTTTGCTATGAAAGATAAAAACATGGAAATTGCTGACCAGTTAGGGTGCTGTAAATTAGTTTTAGCAGCAATGACAGCATACGTTAGATTAACTGCAGTTCATATTACATCCATGTGTGTTTGCCATGCAATTTGTTTCTTTCTTAGCAAACTTTTACATATTAAACTAAAACAACAAAATTACCTCCAGTATTAAGTCCAGTATCAAAGCCATTGATCTTCACTCTAGCTTCATTGATGGATGTAATTGTTATATATTCCCCATCTTTCACAGCCATTTTACGAGTGTCACAGGAATATTTTACATCAAAAATTTGAACTTTCTTTTCTTCTTTTGGAGCCTCTTTTGCTTCAGGCTGAGGTTCTGTGGTTGGTTCTTTCTTGATGACAACTTGTTCTTCCTTGGCACTTGGAACTTCTGTGGACTCCGTTGCTGCAGGTTGCTCTTCCTTATTTTCTACTGCTTCATCAGTCTTCACTTTTGAAGTCTCTGCAGTGTCTGGTTTTGGTGTTTCACTTGCAGTCAAAGTCTTGGCTGCTTCCTGCTTGTCCAAAGAAAAAATTATAAATTCAACCATTACACCAAGCAAATTCATGTTGAAATATCTCATAAACAAGATGCATTTATTTTGGCAAACATGAAGAAAACAAGAAATTAACCCAAAGAAAAGTGAATTTAAGGAAAGTTGGACAAAATGGTCACTATGTTAACCTCAAATTCAAATTAAGAGTTTTCAAATATATACAGTCAACTTAATAAAAAGTGGTACACGTACCTCTGTTGCTTTTTTAAATATAACTGCCTCGAATGACAGTCCTTGGTTTTCCAGCCATGTCTTGACATGCCTTCTACCAAACAGATGTTGTCTGAAACACTGAAAACAAAGACATGATATAATTAATGGAAAGGAAAACAAACAAGTTGTTTTATCCCCATAAATGAATTACACTTGCATTTTGCAAAGTCGAATATATAAAATTATAACAATTCTAAGAGAATTAATTACTTACTGTTTCTTTTGTGCACATGATCTTACAGACTTTGCAGACATATTTACGGCGATGGGTATCAAACAAAGACCTTGTAAGCTTATCCACATTCTGACCTGCAAGGTTCATGGATGATTTGGGAACAGAGTCTTCTTCTTGGGATTTGGACTTTGTTTCTTCTTTCTCAGTGGTCTCTTCTTTGGTTGATTCATCTTTTTTTTCATCAGTTTTTTGCTTAGGAGTTTCAGTATCTTTAGACTCTTCTTTTTTCTCATCTGGTTCAGCCTGTTCTTCTTCATCTTTGAATAAAAAAAACAGGCTTAAGTTGGAGAGTAAAACTTAACAAATATCCCTCATCATATCATAATACAAGCCAAGCCTAAAATAATGATGACAATGTAAAGCTCTAAAAACAACCTGTATAAGTTTTACATTGCTATCTTTGAGCCTTTGTGTTATCAATCTACATAATCTGTTTCCTACCTGGGTTTTCCTCTACATATGGTTCTTCAAATGGTCCTTCATCATCAGATTTCTTTCCAGGCTCAATCTTTCTGTTTGCAGTGTGCCTTTCCGCCCGCATGCGGTCTCTGTTTACATTACGTCTAGACCGGTACCTATTACCTTGTGGAACTCTGTCTCGTTGTCTGTTTCCTCCTTGCATGTTTCTGTTCCCCATCTGTCCTCTGTTGGGTGAGAATCTACGCTTACGATTCTGCCTGTCCATTCCTCTATCATTCATTCTCATCCCCTGCAGTAATGATGGTGGTTGTTTTTTTGTTGCTGCTGAAGCTTGGGCCTGGATGGCTGCAAGAAGTGACTGTGTTTGGACCATTGCCATTAACTGCTGCTGCTGCTGTGCTGCTAACTGTGGGTTTATAACTCCTATGGATATCAATAGTCACAATATTACAATAATAATACTACTATGACGACTACCTGCACATGTTAAACCACCAATCATTGAGAACCAAACATCCTTACACAGAAAGAGCGTAAAACTCATGCAGATAAGATTTTTGCAAAGAAGACACAAAGAAAATAGATAATTTACATGATCATAGAGCAATATTCACCATATTTGAGAAACAATCAAGAAATACATGAAATGATAAAAAAACATTCATAAATTAGACTACTACTACTATTAGAAGAAACATTTTATCCTGGTCACTAAATACGATAGGGTTCTATCTAGGCTAAATATTACAAGCAGAAAATTAAGAGATTGATAGACACTAAGAACATCCTAGATTCACATAGATTGTGCTCAGGGTATTGTTAAGTCTTTGGGAGATTACTGAGAAGAAGTAACAAGCAAATTCATGATCATTCTGATTTATAAGAAAAGACTGTCTTCAGATGTCAACAAGGAATATAATTCCAATAATTTGACGTTTTGGATAGCAATAAACACATATGCAAAGTTTAAACTAGATAGAACCCTCTAAGTGACTTCCAAACACTGAACAGAAACAGAAGAAAAACAATTGTATGACTCAGGAAAATGCGAGAAAAATTTTTCAAGCAATAACAAATGCTATGGAAGCAAAAACATGCTCAATAAGTGTTGTTTCTTTGGAAGAGGACAAACAGTTGAAAAATATGAGAAGGTATGAATATGCAAGCAATAACATCCTATARGAAGAGTTTAAGTAAAAGTGAGACAAAAAAATTGCTCCTTTGGAAGACGACAGTTGTGTCTATATAAAATGCTAATTGAAATATTTAGATATTTTTAATGAATACTAGAAATATCAGCAACATGTAAGAGAAATTCCTTGCCATTTATGTTAGACACTAGACCAGATGGTTTAAGTAAATAAAATGGCCAAACCTGGTTTAAGAATAATTGACATACCGACAACAAAAGTTATCCATCGAAAGCGATGTCAAGTAAATACAATTGAAACTGAAGTGAGTTAGTCTTGCTTTCTCTTTTTGACTTTAGTGAATTCAAGAGGAAAGTCTACGATGATGCATTTATTAGTTCACTGACGATCAGGACAGGCCTTTTTTATTGCATAAATGCAAAACAATTTTATGATCACTAACAGACAGTATGATGACCAAGAATAGACAGCAAGGTGAGACATAAAGAACAGACAGTGAGGACAAAAGAGAGAGAAGAGATAGAAGTTCAGACCTGAACTTGCACTAGAGTTGACTGGCATGTCTCCAGGTTTGGCTCCTAGTATTCCATCACCCCTATTTGGTGTTCCCAAGTTGCGACCTGCCCTGTTATAGTCGGAATCACTACTTCTCTGACCTCTTGAGCTAAAGCTATCCTGGCCACCCAAATGATCCAAGGAGTAGCTTCCTAGATCAGCTCTATCATCTCTTCGTCCTCGTATACTGCTATATGGTGGCTGTACAGGTTAACAAAATGAATTGTGAGATACTGGGTAAAAATAAACAAGTAATTAGTTAGTTGCCATGATACTCTGGTCCCTATACACTGTAGTAAACACCAATGTTCACTAGGCAACATCACTAGTATATTGATTGCTGATGTATTAATTCTTCATTTGGTAACTTCACAGTTAGATGTGTAGTAACATGGTTGAAATGACATTACACTCTTAATGATGGACTTCTTTGCAGTGACAGACATCTTGCATTGAAAAACCAATAGGCACTAAACAATCATGATCTACTGACAGATATTACCAGTCTCCTTAATATAACACACTGGGGCACTCTTGTTGAAATACAGCAGCAATTCTCACCACTGAACACAGAAAATGTGATATACACGGCAGTGCAAACAAGTGTGGCTTGCATCTCATTTTCAGTTCTAATTGCACCAAAATCTTGAATAAGAAAAGGTTAGCTAAACAACTTAGGCTCAATGTGCCAAAAGTATCACCATTAACAAAGAAATTCAGATGATGTCTGGACACAAAGCTTTAAAAATACTGCTGGTGAGGAAGAATAACATTTTCTTATAATTATGTTGCATTTCAGGAAGCCACATAATTGACCAAAAAAGTGTCAGTGGTTGTTTTCTGTTGACTGTCTGACATTCAGCCAACAAGGAAGGTGGAATTTATCACATACTTCCTCAGCTGTTGAACAAAAGTCAAAAACTACATGACTATGTGCCTTTGAAACCCTAAATTTGAATTATACTTCTTTGACAAGGGTCTCATTTTCAAGCCAAGATATGGCATTTTTTACATTTTTTCTTGGTTTCTCTATGAATGACTTTCTGAATGGATGCTTTTTCAAAAACCTCCTTTCTGAATAAAGCCAACATGAATTATATATGACGGGTGACTAAAGTAGGGCGTTCAGGTGGTTTCACCACACAAATCACCCGGGGGGTCATGCATATGGATTACATACATTGACTAGACTATTCGTTATCTCTCGTTCGTGACTTCTAAGAAACAGATGGTAAATTTGCAATAACCAAATAATACTATTCGACAAGAATGTCGTTAAGATATTTTCTTCAAATTGCAAATTTCAGTCTCGAGCGAGAACAGAGAAACTTGGTAGCTCTTAAAATGACACCAGGGGATCACTGACAAGTTCTAAGATCAAACATTTTGACAGAAAATCAAGAAGCAATCCACATTTTAAAATCATGAAAGCTTTGCGTATCTGAGGAGCTTACATCAGGCGAAAATCTGCGCCTACGAGGGCTTGGATCTCGTCTCCCAAAGTCGCGATCGATGTCTCTTCTTTCAAAGCCTCGTCCATTTCTTCCACGATCGTCAGAGAACCTATCATCTCTTCTACTGACGTTATTTTGACCCAAACCACCAAGATTAGGATAGAGAGAACCAAATCCTCCCCCACCAAAACGATTGAAGCCTGCCATATAGAAAACTAAAGTGATAAAAATCGACTGTAAATGACTGTTCTTGTTTGCTTCGTGTTCAGCGACAAACGCCACGCGGGGAGGAAGTACATCCGGGATAAGTTGTCCCGAACAGAGTACGATTTTTTTACGAAGTACGTCCGAGACCGACGTCCGTTACTATAGAAACTTGAGAGCGTGTTGAGCCCGCGATCATTGTTATTTCTTGAATTTTTTTGATCAAAAATAGATGCATTTATTCCTTGGATTTGATGGAATTGTTTCCTCGTACAACACAAATGAGTAGTAATGCAACACCCTGATTTGTCACATTCTCGTCTAAACGATAGCTTTACCCTGAAATGTATAAAAATGGCTCGAAATATAGAGAACCCAAAGCGCGGCCATTTGGCTTTGAAAAGCAGTGGTAAGCAACAAATAATAATAATTTAAAACATTTCATCTTTTAAAGCCATAGGGATACATGTAGTTTCAACCAAAATACTTGTCTAAGTATCATGTACTTTACTTATCTAACATTTGATTGTTTTACATTCACGTAGTTCTCGCTCCAACATCAACTTCATACTTTGGTCAACATATGGTTCTGAATCACCTTAACTCTCACTACAGAAGAATATCGTCAGCCAAAGGTACATGTAATTATTATGTTTTATCAAAACAGCAACGAAAACAAATGATATATCTACAATGTCATGGTGTTGAAATTTGGATGTGTGATTTCAGCTGCAGTTGACACGTCTGCCCCAAGATCCATGAAGAAACATATCAGAGGTACATGTATGAAAATTATGATTACACTAGTATTTCATTTATCATTGGCTATTAATTTCCTTTATGGTAGAATCAAAGATCTTGTCTACAGATATATGTAATAAATGATGGTGGATAGATATTGTAGGTAAAAATATAATTTGCCTTTTTGTTGTTGTTTAGTCCAAGACCAAAAAAAGCGCCAGTATTTGAAAGACAGTCAAGGAGCTCTTACTCCAGGGAGAAGATCGAAAGTAAGAATATAGACTCATGGAGGGTACTATTATGATACAACAAGTGCATCTGGTTTGGCATCATCCAAATCATACACACTCTGTATTTACACCTATCTTGACACTAAACATGACTTGTCCTTGTTTGGACCATCCAACCAGATTGTTACTTTGACAAATATTGTTACTTGATTAATATTCATTCACCTGACTTCAGAACTTTCTATAATTTACACCTGTCTTGATCAGCAGGCAGTTCATGCCAATATTTCTGGAAGTCGCAAATTCTTATCCCTTGAACAGTCATCCATGGCTTACTCAACATGAAAATGGAAATCTTTATTAACTAATATGTAGTATTTGTAAGCTTCCTGATTTAGTATTGCACTAAAACCCCATTTTATCTTATAACATGTTCTCATTGATCAATATCAGAGTGCATCCCTTGAAAACCTGTCATCAAGAGGAATGAGTCCTTTTGGTACTTCAAGACCACAGTCAAGTCAAGGCCTGAACAGCATACCATTAAGACAATCAATTGATCACTCAACTCCTGCACCAACACCAAGAGATGACTTGTCTGCTCACGACCAGTACTTAATATATCAGCAAAGACAACAAAAACAGGAACAATTTTCAGATGCAAGAGCATCATTTTCACCTTCAAATCTACCAAAACCTTTAGTTTCTCGCTCTAGATGGAAAAAAATTCAATCAAATGTAGACACTGAAACTAATAATGAGCATTTAAGAGAAGTAAATGCTGATGAGAATGGAAATATAGTAGGATTGGAAACACAAAACCTTTCATCCCCAAGGGATATTTACAATGGAGAAACTAGAAGTGCAAGAAGTTCTAGATTAAGCCAGTATCCAGGTTTGGATTGCAGCTTTACTTCTTCATCAAGCGCATATTCAAGAAGAAAAAAAGAACTTCAAACTAAAATGTGGTAAGCTACAGTTCAGTACTCAACATCTCTATAACATCTGATAAATTCAAGATCCATTAATAATATAATATGAATCAAAGTACTTTGATGTCTTCTTATCAGGAAAGAAGAACAAATGTACTTGGAATTTATTTCTGAAGTTACCACTGATGTTTTGGCAAGAGGAATATTCACCAATAGGTATGTGCAACAATATTGCATTACACAATGACTGCCACTATATAATAATATAGCTGCCACAATTGATAATGAAAATTGATAATATCCCCCTTATATCTTCTAGGGTTCTTAATAAGGTATTTGAAAGTCATATCGAGAAGCGGAAAGAGGAATTGGATGAGGTAATGCTTGAGGAATATCATGATTCAAGTGACAATATGTAAAATTAACTGTGTAATTTCTTTTTTTCAGCACCGAATGAGAGATATGATCGAGCAGCTCAAGCTTGACCTGAACATCAGAGACAGCTAACAAGACATTACTGAATGAACAATTTGTAGATATATTTGTATACCAGTACATAAAATAGATAATGAAAGAGCACAAAAAAAACGTGAATAAAATAATAATTAACTGTCATCCAGCTTCGACGCAGCTGGTAAAAGTACTAAAATTTGTAAAAAAAAGTGCCAGTTGTGAATGTTTTTGGTATAGTCCTTCCTCTTCTATCTGCTAACAAAGGACAGGAAGGGCTATGCCAAAACAGTCAAATAAAGAACTTGGGTATTTTACTAGTGAGCACATGTAATCCACTTCTTTTATGATTTAAAATTCCACAAGTGGAGAATAACTTCTCCTTTGAATCACCATGTTATGAGGGCAAGTAAGCTAGTACAAGCGTTCTCTCTTCTATTTTGTCACTTTTCACATATTAAAGTCCCTATGACACTTGACAAAAAATTCTGATTCTCTGAGAGCTGATTCTATATATCAGTGTTGCGTCTTTTAGTTGTGAAGGTTCAATCTTCCAATATGTTAATGAAAATGACATCAAAGAAGGCTTCATTAGATATAAGAACTTTGAAGGATTCAGAAGGAATCAGAAATTAACTAGATTTTATATACATGCTAAAAAATAAACTGGAAGTAGCTTAGAAAATGAAAATATAAGAAGATATTTTATACCTCAGTTTTCATTTCACTTCTGGCTTATGTCCTAAGCATCTATCCATATGTGGTATCAGAGCTGGCATGTATCAAGATTTTTGATAACCATTTTCATTTTGGCATAACCCATAGAAATATGATATAGATCAATATAAACAGAGACAAAGTGAAATTATAATCTTCATCTTTAATGAAGTGCTGAATGACAATATTATTGACCTCAAAATACCTTTCACACTATTACTGACAAAATTGCTTGAGTGTTTTTCTAAAGTTTTGAATTTGAGAGCAATTGCCTAATATCATTAACACTGTATAGAGAATATACTTCCTTGCAAACATCGTACACTCAATCCTAATTCTATACAATAGATTTTTGGAAAATATTCAGATGACTTCAAGGTAATTTCCAAATCTGATGTGTCTTCATCATCTTGCTAAGTAATCTGTTTTATCTTTAACAAAAATCATGTAGCTGAACAGTGTCTTTGTATTTTCGCACTGTTAACCAGTAAAAGTTTGACAAAAAGTCTACATATTTAAGATACAACTTCTTCTTTAAATTTCACTCCATTTCAAACTCTACTATCCCTTGTTGAAAAATGCTTGTCCATGTATGTACACAGCTTGTCCCTATGTCTCCTCTAAAAGCTTTAATAGAAACAGTACTTTACATCTTGACATTTCTTGTGAGTTTCCACAAGTRCTATATTGCATTTTGTTCCCATAACTACAGTTGTTATGGTTACACAAAGACCTTTGCTAGTCCATCAGCCCCAGCACTAGCTATATAAGGCTTGGTTGGGTGGAATGCCACGTCGTATATGGATTCATCAAACTTCTTTCTATGGGAAGTGATTTCCTGGACACATGTTTTCGTATCAAGATTCCACAGTCGTATAGAGCAATCATGGCCTATGAAAATGGTAAAAGTAGTTAGCTATGATTATACAGCTCATTGAAAAACATAACTAGGTTGCAAAAAGTGATATCATCAAAGGTAAGGCCAATAAAATTCAAATCATATTTGCCTAGAAAGGCTACATTATACCATCACTCCGTTAAAAAAGATCAATTTTATTTAGGGCAGCACTCTAAGAGATACTTACTCCCTGACAGAAGGTAGAGGCCATTAGGGTCTACTGCTAGACTAGTTACAGAGTCCAAGTGAGCTACCATTGAATGGATTTGTTTTCCTGGAAATTAAAGTGACAAATGTCTGTGATAAAAATGAACTAAACCATGTGAAACTTCCAAACAAAAGTTAGAACACTGTTTTTTTGGGATGCCTTCATGTAATGACAAAATGTCAGAAATATCACTTCTGGGTGAATTTTTGGATCTTGCACTTGTACTCATACCTGAATTATTATCAAAAAATCTGATATGTCTATCTTCGTGCGCTGTTATAGTGACAGGTAATGTTGGATGGCTGACTACTTGATTAATTTGGGATGCTACAGCTGTACCTATAATATTAACCACAAATTAGCAGCAATACTAATCACAAATAAACATTTTAGTTATCATCAAATCAAACATTCACTGGTGTATGAGCAGTATAAAAAGAGAGCTAATTTTGGTGCTATTAGAGCTGACTTAATCTGTGAAACTTAAATGGCATAAAAGAGTACTAAATTATAGTATATAGTCTTTCATATTGTCTAATCAACACTAATTGGTAGTGACTAGTAATATTTGTTTCACAGATTAATTGTATCAACCCTATTATTCTCCATTGTTATTATTTTCTAGCAAGTTAAACAATTTTTAAGGAGAGATCACGATAAGAGTGAGAGAAGAGAAGATGATAATTTAGTAATAAAGATATGGTTGTTGCAGCTAGGATTCACAGTTAATACAAATATCTAATTGTCTCTAATTTGCACTGAAGAAGATCTGAGACCAGATTGAAATGTCTGTTATTAAAAAATTGAGCTAGAGACAACTAGATATTTATATTAAATACAGTAATAATACACACAAAAGTAGCTTAACTTACTAAAGCTTTTAGCACTATCTAGTTGTAAAACAGGAGAAGCTGTTTCAAGATCAAAAACAGCACAGCAGGCATTGGAATATGATGCTACCATTTGGGATGATTCCATGCGTAGAAAATCTACTGATGTTGGAACTGCATTGTTTTCTGTAAACAAAATAATGAAAATGAATGAATAAAAGGACAGATGGATACAACAAGTTTAGTTCAACCATGATTTACCTTTGTCTAATAAGAAAGTGTTTAGTAAAGGAGATTTTAAAGTTGGGTTCCATAGTTTACAGGTACCATCAGATGAGCATGAGAGGAGTTGCAATGAGTTGGTTTGTACAGCTAAACCCCACACAGCATCAGTATGTCCCTCTAATAAATTCCTTTTTACATTAGCACCTGAAGAGATAGTAGAATATTGATTTGTGTATGATTTACTAGAAGAGTATAAAAAACTTTGATAAGATATTGGACAAAACCTTGTGTGGAAATCTATACAAATGTATCCGTGGTATGCATCACCGTATTAGTGCTTAAACACAAATACATTTACCAACAAGAGTCATTACTTACTGTAAGGGCCATAAGGGTCAAGGTCTAAAGAAGGAATATTCCAACAAAATATGGCCGAGTCAGCACCACCACTGAAACACATGTCACTAGTAGAGCTGATAACAACAGACAGCACAGCATTCCTGGAAACAATGACATTTATCTATATTATTAACCATAGCAATGCTTCAAATGTGAAATGCAATATTAATGCAAAAGGGTCATAAAAGAATGAAAAGGGACAAAGTGCTTAATATGACACTAGATCAACATATAGGATTTAATTTGAATAAAAAAACTATTGATAGAGGGCAAACACCAAAATGTTTATAAACATAATTTAAACTTACGTGTGTCCTCGGAAAGTGTAGATTGGTTCCACATCCAGTACATTACTCCTAAAAATTCAAGTATTGCAATTTAAATTTCCAAGATTTTTATTTTGACGCTTAACTTTGTTTAATTTCAGTCAGAATTCACTAAATAGCATCACAATGTCATGTTACTTACTTTTTTTGTGGAACAGTTTTTTGTAAATTCCACAACTTCATAGTGTGGTCTTCTGATGCCGTTATTAAAGCTGGCTCTTGCGGATGGAAATGAACTGCTCGAATACTGTCAAAATGACTGAAACCAAATAAACAAACTATATTATACACATTTACAGATAAACATGTAAGAACAGTGATATTCAAAATGTAAAACTGAGAACTGAGAAATGAATAAAAGAACTGACTTTTGTAGATATCGCAACTGCTCACCTTCTCAGGGTATATTTAGGGTTCCAAGTTTTTCGGAATTCCTCCTTGTTTGAGATCTGTGATGACAGAGAATTTGTTTTGACATTAACTTATGAAAACATTTATGTTATCTTCTTCCCCAACAAATTTGACAATAAACAACAAATTCCTAAAATAGATGAATAAGTAGCTTTTAATTCATTATTTCAGTGTTGCATCCAATGAGGTACCATCAGTATTTCAATGATAAACCACATAACATAAAGGCAGTACATAAACCTACCTCATACGAAAGAGGTTCAGCTTCATTAGTAACAGTAAGATCGGCAAGTTCACCAAGCCCTAGTGGTTTTTCAAATGGTTCATCAGCTGGGGGTGAACTTTGAGCACCTTGTCCTTTGCTTGGAGATCCTTTAGGGGATACTGAGACGCTACCTATTGGGGGAGGTACCTCTGAAATAGATCGAGATCCACTTAATCTGACTGGGGAAGGTCCAGTAACAGCGTGGCTTGATGAACTTGGAGGTGAAACTTCTTCTTCCCCGCTTAAATTAGCCAGCATAGCTTGGAGAGCTAGTTTAGGTGGCCCTGTCATGATGAATAATAAATTAGTTGGAGTGAACCCAGTGCTGTTTGAGAAAATTATCACTACCTTGGTTGCACCTATTCTATCTCCTTACTCTGAAATGTTTCGTAGAAATTAAATGCAGGTGAAAACCCATCTGCTATCTAAGCAAGGAAGAGGACAAGCTAAATAAACTTACTTTTTTGACTTATTTTTGTTTTCTTTTCTTTCTCCTTTTCCTTTTCTGATTTGTATTGTTTTAGCTTGGCTAGCAAATTTTGATCAACTCCCCATTCATCCTAGAAACACAAAACACATTTTTAATAAACTACATCCATTGAATGTAATAAAACTAAAGATCTAACCTTTGATCCTTCCTCTAATGTCCTTGTATGTTCTGCAAGTGAAAAAAGGGCATTAGGAAGATACCTACTGGTTGTCTTTGTGAATGCTGAATAGGACACACTCACCCAAGACTTCATTATCATCTGGCATATGTATATTTACTTCATTGATATCATTAGGTAATACTTCAATCACGGTAGTATCACTGTCTGAATCACCACCACGAACAAAATCAAATTCATCTTGAGCATCTGCGCCATCGTCATCTCCTAACATATCATCTACTTCATCTGAAAGAATCAACATATAAATACTGTTAGTTCTTTATAGAAAAATGTCATATAAAATGCTTTTATTGGTCTGAAAGGATTCTAGTTACCGGTTTTTGGCTTTTTTATGATCCGCCTTTCATTACAAAATTCTTCACGTTCATCTGACTCATCATCAGCACTGCCACCATCATCCATATCATCATCATCATCATCACATTCTTCATTAACATTGAGGAAATTAAACTCTGCCATCACATCAGCTTCTGATTGAATCTCTTCTTCTGCAGCTTTTTTCCCAACTTGAGTGCTTGGARGCTGAGTTGGGGCTCTGAAATGTTTAAAGTAACATGATCCTTGAGTAAAAAGTTTAAAAAAATCAAAAATTAATAGAAAGTTTGATATGGACAATGTCTTTGATTCTGAAAGACATTTTGACTGGTAAAACTTGAGCTTTGCTACACATCATTTCCATCCACTTATGAGCTGCTATTTCTTGCCCTTCTTACCTTCTAACAGGAGTAGGGTTGACTATTTCATGTCCTCCGTGAACAGGCTGTCGTATATGAATTTGTCTAGGGTGTTGTGTCTCAAGTTCATCTTCAAATTTGCTGTCATCCTCCAATTGTCTTTCAGGAGTTCCGTTCACTTGTGGAACTTCAGGTGGAGGTGCAGAAAGCCCTAAAATTGATCTCACTCTTGACGAACGCACATCTAATATAGTGTCTGTGTATCCAACTTCTTGTAAGTATCTAGACAAAATTATAAACAAATTACCAACTAAACTTTTGTGGTCATTTTTTGAGGGTCGAAAACATAAATATATATTTTGTATCATAGAATAATCAAAGTGTACTTTGTAATTTTTTTTAGTACTTACTGTCTAAGCAACTGCCTTCCTTGCCGCCAGTTCATATTCGGCCGATTACTACCATTATTTGTAATGACATCATTGGGTGGTGCTTCTTGATTGGCTTGTTCTTGATCTTTTAATGGTTTATCTTGTCCACCAATGTCTGTACCATATTTTAGTCTATGATATTTGGCTCTGAAGTAATATACATAATATGAATTTGGATTTAAAAATATATTGTTACTAAAGTACAATTAACAAGAGTATCAGACATTTTTAAATATTAAAGCTTTCTCCTTGATTCTAGGTTTCTGTTCCATAAACAGAAACTGTATTTATAACATTTGAAAATATCATTCTTTTAAAGGATATCATAACAGATTTCTAAACTCTTAATGAATCCTAACTAAAAAATACAGAGGCTATTTTGGAGACTTTCTTAAGACCAAAGATTAACCCTAAATTAACTCTAAATCCCTGTCAAGCAGATAAAAGTGAGAGATAATCAAGTGGAAGTCACTTGAAATAATCAACACAAAGAATACAATTTAATTTTACTCTGTTTRTCATATAGTGCTATTGAAGTTTATACAATAAATATATTGAACTCCTTGAGCTGCACTGAAGCAAAGATTTTAAACACAATCAAATCATAGCATACCTTTCTTGCTTCAAAGCATATTCCAACATTTTAATCCGTCGTATTAAATCATGTTTGAGATTTTCTTGTCCTTTTCTTTCTCCCTGTAGAAAGGCTATACGGGCCTGAAATTGGTAAACATAAACTACAATTATCTAAAGAACATGGTTTGAAAATAAGCTCCAACAACTCTGGGATACTWATAAAATTATTGTTCATAATTACCAAAAGTACAATATCATGCAATTTTTGTACAACTTCACTTTCTTTTCAGAATTATCATAAGACACATGTAATCAGTTTTATCTTGCAAATCATAAATTCAATTAATCTTATTGTTAAACAAAACACCACTTTAGTTAATACTATTGTAGGACTCATGTGTTGTTAATTATGTACAAAGTAAAGCATAAATTAAAGTACCTTTAAAAGTACCTAGTAACTAGATGGATAATGGTATAAAATAATATAAAAAAGGATAGTATTGATTAATTTATCAATTTTTTTATGGATGCAATTTAAAAGGTAAAAAATGAGTACARTCCAATATGKTAAATATGGCAGTAGCATYAATTTCAAAGTAAATTTTCATGTACACTAAATATTGGCCTTTTTTACAGACCATATAGGACATTCATGCTGGCATGACTTTATTGCCTATATTTAGTGTAATACACTGTAGACATACATTAATATGAAGAGTGACTGATCAAAATCGTTTAAAAATATACAGCCTATTGAATTTAATAAAAACAAAAGAGTYTTTTATAAGAAGATTGAGCATTATTGATCCATAAATGTATACTAGCAACCACGAGAATCTCGAGTAAAATGTTAAAGATGTCACTAAAGTGATGAATATGCTTGATGTTTTACGCTTTATATTGACAAGAAAGAAAAGATTGGTCCATTTCCAAGAATAGACTCTTCAATAGTACCATCAACAAATCTATTTCACTCCTAAACACTATAAAAATTGAAGTCCTTTTTACCATTTGAAGTATGATACGAAAAAGCCTACATAGTTTAATAGTACCACATTCGTTTGTGGATCACAATCGAAGCAAATATGTACGGTAGCTTATCGATGTACAAGTTGTGTGCTCATTCAAGCATTCTATTGACAGTCAGACACTATTTGGGCAAAGGAACATCTAGATTCCTGTRATGGAAKCGCTATTATAACGTCTCAGTATGAAAACAAAATCTGCATTTTTTTATTCTGCCTTTACGACATTACGAAGACGCGCTGAATTTTTAGCGTGTTTATTTACATTTCTTGATTTGGTGAAACTAACAAGCGATGGAATTGGAACTAACTCTTTAAAAAAATTGACAATTTCCTTAACCTTGAACAAATATTTCTGCTTTAAGAATTACTTAAAGAGCATCKATCGAAAGAGGTCGGTTGAAGCTTTCAAATAGTAATTCAGTGAATAAGTTTCAATTGAATGAGCTGTTCTGTCAGATGGCTTGGATTACTAATTTCATTTGCAATTTGTCACTGATTTCAAACATGCGCTATAGACTACAATACAATSTTGAGCTTTCCCAATACGTCGTTGGAATTTTAAAGTGAAACTACGCTCACTTTGACGGATGAAGCATGAATAGTGCACATAAATTAAAATACTAAAATAAGGAGTCCTAATATAACCAATAAACGGAAGAGTTTTACGTTCAAATTTCGCGTGTACATGTTTTGTTAAAGTATACATTAGATGTGACTTGATTGCCTTAGTTTCGGCGAGTCCCTGAAGCAAACGCTTTCGCTTTTATGCAGTTTAGTTGCACTAGCTCATAGAAGTAAAACAGTGCATTTATATTTAGAAATAAAAACGCCAAACGGATTAGTATAGATGTCGTAGATCAGTCAGGTCATTTGACAGAGTTTGAATTACGACCAAGGATCTTCTTCGAAACAGAATCCTTTGGACAAATTCATCTTTGTCAAATAGAWCCGCTGAAAACTAATAGCATTTCAGACCCTGGAAGATACACTATTTTTATAAATATTGCTTTCTTACCTGCAGTTCAGCCCGCTCAACTTCCCAATGAGCCCTCTCCATTTCAAATCTAGCCCACTCGTGCTGTATGAAATGTAGAATGCCAGGGATTGTAAACTTGTTGCCAGACTCACCAGCCGAAGCTTGCGAGCTCTGGGGAAGTTTACCGGCACCGTCGGTGTCCATATCAATCGAATACATGGCCACGCTAGAAAGAAACAGCCATTATGACGTCCTACGAAATGTTTAGCTACCACTTCACTTCTTCATCGGAACCGGGGCCGAACCGAAGGCGCGAAGAAAGACGTTCTTGAGATTTAAAAACTTTCCCTTTGCCACTAAAATATTCGACTAGAACCGCTGTACTTCAATTAAATAGGGTTCGTATTATACAGCAGAGTGGCCAATGGTATAATTATCAGATGGGAAATACCGGTAAACTGTCTCCATGGACAAGACGATCCAAGAAACACGAAGCAGTACAAACAATTTTCTTCTGTGATAACTGTGCTCCTTGATTCTGGCTCCAGCGATCACATGACGTACTAGGCCCTCGCGACTCACTCGAACCGGTGGAATTCCAATGCTCGCTCGGAACCACTTCGGCAATTTGTCGGAAATTGCTGTGACTAAGAGTATTTGAAAAATTTTCATAGAAGGGGCGAGTAACTGGTTCAATAATATCGCTTTAATAAAAGAATGGTTACAATTCGTAACTGGAATATTTTTGTAAAATATTCAGAGGAAAGAAATTATTTATTTGCATTGCCAGATCACTGCCCGAGAACGGCTGAAAACATATTAAATTTGCCGCTGATATCACTTAAAATATCATTTCCTATTAAAATGAATAAAAATGTCAGAAAAATAGAATAAGAGGTAAAAATGGAATTCAATTAGGCAATGTGCAGCTTGTACTATGATTTTAAAGTTTGAATGTTCTCACTTCGCAAAATCAATTTTTAATTTCCCTTTTTACATAGAAAAGGTAAAACTAATTGAAAAAAAATACAAAAAAAAAACAACACACACAAAACAAATAAAGAAGTGCAAAAACTCWATTTCCCATCATGGTTTACTATAAAAAAAATTGTGCAGGTGCAAACTGACTAAAAACGTATAAATTGTTTATAATAATTCATTCATATTTTTAGAAAACTAAATTTTATTACACTTATAATTTAAGTAAGAAAGCCAAAGTCTTTGATGAAGAAACTTCAAAATTTTAAAGTGTAACTGTTCATRTTTTTGAAGTCTGTTGAACCAAAACGTCCTGACTTGGCACCRAAGGCTGATCATCTTCATAAACTTGTCAATTTGCAGTTGCATTTGGCATTATTGGCATTTTAACTATCTACATCTTGGATATTTCCAACTGTGAGTTCTAGTAAATTTCAAATTAATCCTAATGTATGCAGTTATTTATTACTAAATTAAACATTCATGATTCCCAAAATTCTGAAAAAACATTTGTTACATCYTTCATTTTCTCATAGTATCCTCTTATAGTCACTGGTGCCTGAAGCCATACAAAATCCTTTTCATTATTTCTCTCCTCTGCCACCTCTCCATTTTTTAGAATTATTGAACAAACGTTTCCCCTACTAGGAAYTTTGAAGGAATGYTTAGGCCGGAACCAAGGATTTGTTACAGTTCTTGGAACTTGAAAAAACACAAGAAGTGGAGTAGAGGGAATTTCCTTGAAGTCTCGAAGGTCTTCATTCATTACAAGATGTCTTAAAAACTTTCGTGACATTCTCCTGCAACTTGACTCCGATGCTGATGACATKGMTGATTGAGTGTTAATTGAATTAAAAGACGTTAAAAATTTAAATTGATAGGACTCCTTCGGGCTCACAGCTGTAGAACCGAAAATAAGTAGCGCTGARCTCACAGGTGTGGATTCAAACAGTTCTTCTAGGTTTTGAAAGAGGCATTTCAAGTCATTAAAAAGTTGTATTTTCTTCTTAGAGTCCGTTCGTCGRTGAGTTTGACAGATCGATAGTTCTGCTTCAGTATTTCGAAATATTTGGTCGACCGTTGTTGGTATTTGATGTCTTTCATAGAGCAAATACTTGATACATTCAATGACTAGGTTTGCTTTRGCAGCATTGCTATGGCATTCATCTAAAACAAACTCAATCTTCACTCTGGCAGAATTTTCCTTTTTGGCCGCCATTGGTCACGGGCTCAGACTWASACAGCGGTTKTACTTCGAAMTTTATGTTACAGATCACGAAAAGTAATAGCTACCAGTCTTTGTCGGCCAGGCAGTTCGGCCTTTGAAAACAACATGGCCGCTGGAGAGTGTGTGGTTCAAACCACAAACGGAGAAGAAGAACCAGCAGAAGACGACGACGACTGGTCCGATTTTACTTCTGATAGTAACATCAATAGTCTGCCTAGTTGCTTTGAGGATCTAACGGTACAAAAGTGCTTCCCATCAAAGGATAGCTCTTGGGTTTTCAGAAACGTTTCAGAGACAGCTCGGCTGTGCTTTCCAGTATTGTCGTCCAAATCTCAAGTATCTTCTTGTAGTCTCCCTGAAGCGTCAAGTAAAGAGAAACTCGAAGGAAAGCCAGCACTGCTGGAGGAAAATCTGTAAGTCCATTGCAACATTGATTTTTAATGCTATTTTGAAGAAGGATAGTCTCTTTTCGTTTATCACAATGAAATCTCGAAAACTCTAAAATGACATTAATATTTTATTCGTAAAGTGGCATCGATTTTGATTGGTTTCTCTTGACAGCACATTAGAGGCACTTTGCATAAGAGGAAATAGATACAAATCTAAATGATATTTATATCATAGATCCTGAAATATTCAGTAAGCTTTGCAAACTCCTGATCCCATCAAATATTGTTGGAACATCAGCAAATTCTTGGTTGGACTGAATGTGCGGCATTACATGAGCCTTGTATATTCAAGCAAAAGAAAAAGGAAATATTGAATTCATTGATAGATTAATTGTTTGTTGATGGACTTCAAACTCCACCCTGACAATTTGATGCACCTTCCAGCAAATTCCAGCACCATGAAACACCAAACAGCAAAATGTCAAGTCTCTTAACAATTTTGGACTATGTTGGGCAATCTTACATTGAGCCAGAGCATTTATGGCTCTTTTCATAAATGGCATAGTAACAAATGTACACGTTTTTAATTGGATGAAYTTGAATTATYTTTGTTATTTACAGGCATTATTCAAGCTATTTTCCTCAGCCAGTTTGGAAAGGTTCTAATTTTGAATCAGCTTTAATAAGTGCTCTTGATCTCCTTTCAGCTAATAAAGTAAGTGATTTTTTTAATAAACACACATTTTTCCAATTACTCATAGCAAACTTTTAAGCAGAGTTGCAAACTTCATCAATGCCAAAATGAGATATGGAAATTGAATGAAAGTAAAAAAAAAATGAATAAAAGTGATCAAAAGGATAAGTGAACACTCTTGACATCAACGTCTGTTATTGTCACCATTGACCATTAATAAACCAAGCCTTATGAAGCTGAGAAAACCTGTACATTTTTGTGGTTATAGGTGCCTTTATTTGGACACAGCTAACCTGGTTAGAAACATTTAGAAGGCTTTCTTGCAACATTAGGTAAAATACTGCATTCTGTGTTTACAAAACACATTTATTATTATGTTTAGGAACAAGAACAAGAGTCAGATGTTGAGACTATTAAAAGAGAACCTGGACTTTTTAATTTTCATCATTTAGCAGAAAGAAGTATGGATTTCTGGCGTGGAAAATGGAATTTAGAGGTTGAGGAAACTTCAGCTAATGGACTTAGTAGATCAAGAGAATCTTTAGGCAATGAAAGTAGTAGTGATRCAAAGTTAAATGAATTTACGGGTGATTTGGAGATATGGACTGATTCCGATGGAGCTGATTCAGATGAATTTTTTCTACTGGTGGGYGATCAACGACCTGAAGAAACAAGAAGTCTTGAAGACAGTCATGCTGCAGCAGGTAGAGGACCAATAGTTTATTAGTACTTTGTAATATTAAGTGTTTTATCCTCTATAAATAAAGTTGTTACCTACTAGGAAAATTGCTAAATTAGAGGACCATACATGCTTACTGGATCTTGGTATCAAAATGCAGTTCTATTTGTTTAAAATCTATGAATTGAAGCTCCAAAGAAATCTTAATTCTGCATTTGTTTTAACTTTGCAGGCAAGAGTCTTATATGTATTCACAAAAGACTTATTATCAAACTCCTTTCCTTTGTACAGGTCTTCATCAACTRCCATTTGAGGAAGTCCAAGAATTAAGGAATGAAATGGCAACTTATGTAAAAGAATATTCAGACTCTTTAGTAGAAGAACTAATGGTCAAAGATGAACAATTAAGAGAAAAAGAAATAAAGAATTTGTTTATATCATCATTATTAGCATTACAGTCTAAACTCAGGGACATACARTCTACACAAGGGAAGAAGAAAAATGGACCTTCTATGAATAAAGTAAATACAATTGTAGATTATGAGATGGCTCCAGAAAATATCTAAAATATCCCACTCCCTTTCTCCACAAAGAAAGGGGAGTGTTACTTCCATTAAGCGATAAGAYGGCTCTWTACTGTGTGACCACTCTCTATTTCATGGMCAATCTGGATAATTTTTAAAGTGACYCATTAGTCTTACACTGTATTCAAAATCTCTCTCACTATAAGTGTATTTTGGACAGGGAGGTACTGAGGGGGTATGTATAWTTTYMRGRAMCTKKTTT